TGCGACTGTGCCAATGAAGCTCCCCCAGAACCCCCACTCCGAATTTTAGCTATTGCGGAGTAGTTCCCCGAGTCTTGGCAATGGTTCGACTTGATCAAATTTGGGCAAAGGTCCGTCTCCAGGGACGTTAGTGCTATAATGACCACGGCATCTCGAAAGTTAATGTATGTGCCAAGCTCTTGCTTCGCGACATGATCCCGTTGAAGGTCTAGGTCTAAGGTCTTGTGTACTTCCTGCGATGTATCGTTGGGAACACCAAAGAACACACGCTAATCAAGCAAGCTGAAACTCCTGTTTTCTGAGGAAGAATGATGTGTTTGTGATTCTTAAATGTCCGACAATAATAGCTCTTGAGTCGAAGACCTTTCGCTCTGCTGAACACATTGCTCTATTGCGCCATTGTTGATTTCCTGGACCGTTGGCAACGATGGCAGAAATCGACATCAACACCAGGATCATCGTTGCGATTGTTATTTGCGTTTTCATCAGCATTGCTTTCTACAACGTTCTTGAGCTTACCGTCTCAATCTTTACATCGTTCAAAAGGCGCTCGGGATTGTACTTTTGGAGTATTCTTATCGCAACATGGGGCATCGCATTCAATGGGACCGGCTACCTGCTGAGGCACCTGTCCCTCACTACGAAACCGATCATCTACGCCACGCTCATTCTCATCGGCTGGTGCGCCATGATAACAGGCCAGTCAGTCGTCTTATACTCACGCCTGCATATCGTTGTTCATGACCGGAAGCGACTGCGACTGGTGTTGTACATGATCATCGCCGACGCCATCTGGCTGCATATTCCCATCATCATTCTAGTCTATGGGGTAAACTCGGCAAACCCGGAACCGTTCCAGAATCCGTACACCATCTTCGAAAAGATCCAACTCACCGTCTTCTTCATACAAGAGATCATCATCTCTGCGCTGTACGTCTGGGAAACCACCAAACGCCTTCGTCTCATGAATAGCATCGGCGATTTGCGCACCCGCAAGATTATGAACCACCTGATCTGGGTGAACATACTAGTCGTCCTACTTGACGTGACGATTTTGGCCCTCGAGTTCACCAATCTTTACGACATACAAACAGCCTGGAAGCCGTTGGTATACAGCATTAAGCTGAAGCTCGAGTTCAGCATTCTCAATCGCCTCGTCGAACTCACACGAGGGGCCTCGAACAGCAGCGCCTACGTGCGCAGTCAAGGACATGGACAGGCAAACGACGTGGCTCTTGAAACATTTAACGGCGAGCGGTCTAGGCAATTTACCAAAACTGACGAGCCGGAGTATGAGGTTCGCATTGGGAAAGGAGACAAAAGTCATGTGTCGCCGGCGACAAATTCTTACCCGACAAAAACAACGGAGATCACGATTCACAGCCATTCGCGTGCAAACCACGGTAACCGGGACAGCGACAACATCAGCGAGGATCCAGACAAAGAACGAGAAGGAGACGTATGTTCAACTTCGTCCGAAGTCCAATTTGCGAGATATTAGCGGCTTCAACCTTTTGCGTAAAAACGACCAGATCACAGGCTGAACAATCGATAATTCTTAGCGTTTGTTGTTTTTCATCTGGACTTTCATTTGTTGACGTTTATTGAACTTCCATAGTTAGACTTCTTAATTGAGTGTTCAGCTGTCCTTGAGACTCCTGCTGCCAGATTACGGCGCTCATTGCAAATCGCCTCTGAGTGAATGCCTGCGCAAGACGAGCATTGTGGTTGCAAAGACCAGCTGCCAAGCTAACATCCGTCTATTCCTGATTCTTGTCTCAGATGGCAGACGATGGCCACATCGTAGTCTATCAATCTACCAGTTAGATATCGTCAATGCCCCACACCGCATGTTAAGCTTAAATCAAAGCGACTTTCCTCAAAGACCCCTCGAGGCCATGTTGGTCACTTGAACGTCTTCCCCTCCCGTTCCTACTTCTCCCGTGCTTCCAAAAACCTATCTGCCTCTTGATTGCTACCCTGATGGTACACTAAATGCACGGACATGACCACAGGGATGACTGCCATTCCCCTCGGGCAGATTGACTACATCGATTTGTCGCTCTCAGTGCTGTAACATTGAATGGTTCCTTGGCCTCATCTCCGTCGGGCTGCTTCTTTACTTCGCCCTTCCGATTAAAGTTCCATTGCGGATTGGAACCCATGATACATGGACGTTGAAAATGAAACCTTGTTTGGGCTTCTTTTAATGATCTACCTGGGTGCGCTTCCATCGGGCTCAAAAGTGGTGCCACGCGGGACCACACGTACTTGGCAGATCGGCTATGGTGGCCGGTTGCAAACTTATGCCCACGTGGATACATGTTGATCCATTGACTTTATTTGTGTTGTATCCCAAGTGCCTGGCCATCCGTACCACAATGTGGTCCTAGAAGTCATACTCTAGACACAGTGAAGTCTTTCATTCGTCTTGGAGACATAGCCGTTTTGTCTACCCGGTTTGATGCCGAACGCCCAGTGTAATTTGTCACAATCGCCTCACACATAGCCCCTATTTCCGCTGCGTACCTTGGGTAAGTCTTGGCTCCGGCGATGGGTTGCGTTGGGCTAGGCACCGCCCCCCCGTTCGCCCGGGATCTAAGGATCGAGTGCCAAGATCATCGCACAAAGTGCAAGATCTCTTGATGGTGCGACGTTGGCTCTACTGATTTGGTTGAAGAAGACTGTTGAAAAAACCGCTCATTTGATTTGTCACAGCGCGACTATCTTCGAAGCATGAAACCAAGAATTGGAATCCCGGCATTTGCGACCTATGCCCAAGAATGTCGCGACCGGAGCGACGACATCGCCTACAGTTCTTCGACGAATTGGACGATCAAGGTGCCCTTCAGGGTTGCAAGACGACTGGGAAGTTGGATCTTGGTATTGAAGGAAATCAGGAATACCCAGGAGAATGGCTATGGTTATGCAAGCCGGATCCCTGTTTGGGGATCCTTCGGGGCACTGAAGACAATTCCGGTTGGCTGTGGTCCGGACCCCACGCCGAGTAGCTCCCAGAGAGAATAATGATTAAGTTTGGCCCTGCATGACACCCTGAAGCAACACAAGCCGGCGTGCGAAGACAATGTTCCATCTTCACGTCGTAAGCGGCCTCAGAAACTGGACTTCGGGGTTTTTACCTGACCGAATATGGCATGATGGCTTATGCTTCTTTCTTCAAGCCGCCGAGCCCGGGAAGTCTCGCCGTTCATCTTGTTCATGTTACAATGCGGTGTTCCATTTTAGCCCCCAGCCATCCCGGGACAGAGGCAAAAACCAGATGGTCTTTATCACCATCGGAAGCCAAGACACAATGGCCAAGTATCGGGCTGGGAGCAGCCATCTGGTCTCGCGAGTCTCATGCGATGAGATGTTCAGGCATCAGGGGTGAAAGATCGAAGCTGGTCTTGCCAAAGTCGGGACTTTTTTCTGCCCGACTAAAGGGACGCTCCCCTTCCCGAAGATTGAGCCGTGCGCCCGGAGCAGGTTCAGGTGCTTTTGTACCCTCCCGCCGTCTCTTAGTCACTGAATCCCGCGGACTACAGGCTCTCGTCATTGAGAAATACGGAATGAGATATCAAAGGCACAAGACAAAGCCAACCGTGTCTCGTGAGAACTTGGATTAGTCACTCTGTGTACCATAAGCCTCTGCCGCGAGCCAACCGTGGTCAGAACATTTTAGCTGTATATAAGATTGGAAGAAATGAAGAGAAACCATTGATGTGCACCTCACTCTCGATGACGATGCTGTTGGTGCAAGGTTGGAGGTCGATAGGCCCAAGGCATCCGTGATGGCGAGATCCGGAAATTGGAAATGTTCTAGTGAGGTTCTTTTCACTTGGTATGGTAGCAAGGGTTGTGATGTTGCCTGACCAAGAACAGGGGATACTGAACTGATTTGAGCGGAGCGATCTCGTTCGGCAACCAAACTTCAGCCCCCTACTTGCTATTAATGAGCAGCAAAGCATGACAGGCTGTCTTGACGCCGGCCTTCGTTTCAATCGCCCAGGGATGCGATATCCCACGGTGGCGCCGGAACTGAAAGCAGATGAACAAATGCTCCGGATTGCTCAGTAATTCAGGCTGCCACCTGAACTTTGCAAAAATTCCATGTTAAGGTCACCAATAGTCCATACCTTAGACTGCGCCCCTGCGTGCCGTTGTTACTTCCGTGATGGTGGGGACCTTGGATGCAAGAGCCGGCCGGTCTGCCGTCGCTCGAAGCTTGGCAGGAGACAAATTTACGGGTCGAAGAGCCTAAACACCCGGTGAGACGGAAGCCCATGTAGCATGTTTGAACCTCCGTGCCACTCCGGTTTTGTCTGTTTCTCATGCGCACCGCAAGTTACTATTTCACTTCAACGGGACGTTAGCATGCTGCGTGACACTTTAGTGTGTGTTATGATCGGCAAAGACATTTTCAGCGTCAAACTCAACAGGCTGTCTGATATTCAACCGTGGTACTGATCTGACCTCTCGTTGAAGGGCATCCGTATAACACTAGTCGTATCATGTCCTCGAAAGTAGAAGAATATTTCGCTCAGATACTTAGTTCGGCGGGCAGTCTCTACCCTCCTCGGGAAAGTGAGGCAAAATATGTCAGGTTCAAAGAAACCTGTATTAAAGAAATGCGAATGCGAGCCATGCGTATCAACGGCAACTCCCGTGGCTCTAAGTTTGGAGGATGCCAAATTAAAGACATCATTGGGCTTCATTTTGCGCAAGATATTTGGAGGAAATTGCAATTGCGAGTCAGACCTAATGCTTGTGAGGTGCTCTATCTGGGACACCCGAACGGTATGTGGATAAGCGGGAAGGGCGTATTAATTAAACCACTGTCGGCCGTGCCGCCCTACAAACCTTAACGATGGGCTGGCTGCAGCATCCCAGTGCCGTTCATCCGATGTCAATACAAAGTGTTCACCCCTCAGTTGACTTCGAACTCAATACGTGTGTTGACTTTCTCTTTTTCCCGGTTGTCACCTGTTACCAAAACTATCATGAAGGTCGCACTATTGTCTTTCATTGTAACTCCCGTTTCTGCGTGGTCGGTCACATTCCATGACCGCGACCAGTGCGCCGGTGGAACGACATTCCACTACGGCGGCGGCTCTAACACAGGGACTGAACACCTCGCTCAGTGTTTCACAATGACTAGCATCAACAAGTCGTACGCCAACTATGATGCTAAGAGTGTCAACATCGTTTTTGGAGGTTGCACTATTGACATTTTCACGGATCGCTTGACGTCCCCGGGACTCGCCGGGTGTGTGGCATCAATCAGCGAGCCATCCAATTGGCAACGTATCAATCAAGTACAGGATGGATGTATTCAGTATGTTTGACTTTGGCGTCTGAAGAGCCGTGAGGAGAAGTGCTAATTGGTGTCCTTCAAGGTTGGACAAGTCGAAACTTGGAAAGTGGCAAGCCTGGTCGGTTTCATGCTGAGCATTGCGCTGGGATATATATAAATCGCCGACGAGAATTTCGGGAGTCTTGATTAAACTCGATTCTATTCGAAAGATTGGAGGGCAGATATCGGGCTTTAACGCTGATTTAAAAAACGGTAGAGTGAAGCGGACGTCAAAGGTTCAATGATAGTCGGACAAGTAAGATCTGATCAGATCATCTAGAACAAACTCCTACACTGCCTTCAGTATTGCAGAATCATTGCCGGCGTCAATTACGTATTACCACAGCGCTTTTGGTGAAGAGCCCTCCGAACGCAGCCTTGACCAAAGATCTCGCCGCATTTCCAACACTGACGGTGTCAGTCACGCGCAGTCCGGCGCCATCGCTACCTAGTGTCTGCACATGCGCATTGGTGGTCGTCTGATTTGCTACCTTCGGGTCATTGAATTTGAGTCTTACTGCCCTCACAAGAGTCCATTCCATCTCTGTGCAACGGATATCCTTGTGTACGAGACCGTGGTGCTCAAGGGCGAACTTGATATTGGTCCAGCCCATGAATGCTTTGGATAGCCATGGTATCTCGGCCCAAGAATCACCAACGCCAGCTATCGACATGACCACTATACGACGGATGCCGGCCTGCTGGAGAACCTCGCAAGCATTGGCACATGAATCGGCCAGAAAGTGAGGAGGCGAGAGCTGACGTGCGAAAGGGTTGTCAGACTCGCGGACTGTGTGCAGGGTGACGATGGCGGCGGAAGCAGTTAGGGAAGGCGCAGCGGAAAGAGCTGATGAGATTTCCGACTTTTATAGTGATCAGCCAGTGACCACTGTGAGCCCGGGGCTGTCAGTAAAACTGCTAGGAGAGCGGAAGAGGGCTACTGCTGTGTGTCCTTGACACAAGAGTTCAGACACAACATGCTTGACGGTACGCCCAGTCGCGCCAAGAAGGAGAAAATGCATTGCCGCAGGGGAACAGAGGTTTCTTTTTGAGTGCCAAAGCACTTTGATAAGCTTGCAATGGATGCGAGGAAACACAAGAATGATGAAGTTGAAGATCTTCAACGCCAGAGCTACGAGAACACCTATGTATTTATCATCGCTGGACCAACAACCCGTTGCACAAAGTTCCAACTCTCCAGAACTTGATTTATAATGACAGATAGTCATGGGACTCTGATGCGTTCGCCCTGAATTGATATCACGGTGTTTGCCGATTGGGTTGCTCGGTCCGGATGCTACAAACGGTCTCGGGCGGTACGGGACCCACCGGGCGGCACCGGCGGAGGATTAAATCGGGGAAGCGGGCGCCATCAGCAGGTAGCCTGCGCCCGCGCTAACTTATTCAAGTAGTGTGAGCGAACCGGCCAACCATATGTGATGATGGCGGGATCGAGCATTATTTGTGGTGTCGTTGCCTGTCAGGCACAATTTCGGAGCCAAAGATTATAAAACAAGACGTTTTGTCACAGTCTTCCGCCAAGTATCCAAGATCATGTCGAAGTTCATCACCAAATGCTCTAGCATTCTGTCGCAAATCTTACACTCCTCCAAAATGCCAGCATTCACTCTATATGGCGCTCGTGGCTCGACCAACACAGATCGTGTCCGTTTGACTCTCGCTGAAGGTGGCTTCACGGACTACGAACTCGTTTTAATCAACCTGCAAAAGGGGGAACAAAAGGTGCGTGAACCAATATCTGCTGAGGGTAATGTACTGACACAACCCCGCACAGTCCGAAGAGCATACGAAGAGACACCCCTGGGGTAAAGTCCCAGTCGTCATCTTCCCCGACGGTTTCACTCTCTACGAGAGTAGGGTCATCTGCAAGTACCTCGCCAAGAAGTACTGCTTCCCGCTTCTGCCTCCCGACTCCGACAAGGAATCTACCGCGCTGTTTGAACAGGCGCAATCGGAGGAAATGTGCTACTTTGCCGACCCGGCAGGTAAAATTGCGTTCGAGAAGTTTGTGAAGAAGAAAGTCATCGGTTTGCCTCCAGATGAGAACGTCGTGTCAGGAGCAACACAATTTCTCGAAGCCTTTTTTGACGTGGCGGAACGTGCATTGCAGCATAGCGATTACATGGCTGGGAAGGACTTCACTCTCGTGGATATTTACTATGTACCCCTGATCCAGAGGCTCTTCGTATGCGGATATACAGATCTCATTCTTGGTCGAAAAGCCGTAAGTGCCTGGTGGAATCGTGTCGTCAACAGGCCAGCCATACAGCAAATTCTGGCCGCTGATAAGGAGGCTGCAACGGCGGCACGGTGATATGGTAGTAACTGAGTCAATTGGACATTTGTTGTATTAAACATAGCATCCTAGATGGTTTTATCACATTGACGCTGTTGACCGTTGCATGCCAAACAGATATACTTGTGACGGTCGAGAGAGATCTGTCAACACATCATCAACCCGTCAATATGCTGGATTGGACGTATGTTCTTTACTACGAGCACTCTTGTAACCTCGATAAGTCTTCAATCCATCCTCTACACTATCTGCTACCGAACGCAATTGCTCAATCTCGGCGAGTCGCTTCTCGTCATACTCTGAATTGCAGTAGATTGCCCCCAAGAGCACGATCTTCAGTGTCCGATAGAACAAACGTAAGAAAGACACTGATAGAGGCTCCCGTTGTCCAGCTTTTGCATCCAAATGAACGCGTTCAAACATGGAGTACCACGAGTCCAAACTATCCAGCAGAGATGCCTTTTCGGAAAGTAGTACGAGAGCCATTGCTACCGACTCAACGTTCGAAACCTTGGAGAGGAACTCAAGCAAATTCGAGGCAATCTTTGTGAGGAGCTTCCGCATGTTCGGTGCTATGGGACGATGAGGGACAGATTCAGATTCGTCAGATTGTTGATCTGGCAGCACCGGGCCTGCATCCGATGCTGTATCCTTTATGGCTGTCGATGCTGGAGAGTCTGCGAATTTGCATGGTGCAATGAAAAGCTTGATGACGAAGACGTCAAGTAAGGGAATATCGCTGTGGCTTGCCGGTATCAAATTGTCTGCCGCAACCAACGACGGTCGTGCACGATATTCATGCATGATACTGAGTCCCTGGACAAGGTGCTGAGCTACGGCTGAATAATTGCCACGCACCTGCTCGATGCTCAGAAAGATCTGGCAGCAAAGCAACGCCGACCTTATTTCGTCAGAGCCCGGAGACGACAGTTTGAACGCGAGGCCCTTTAAAGCCAGGCAGTATTGCTGAACCCCATAGTCATACTCTCGACCTGACTTCCGCCCCAAAGAAGAAAAAGCAAAATCTCCGGAAGTCTCGAGGTGCTTTCGAAAAGCTTTCAGTGATGAGACTGCTAGTCGGACCGATGGATCAGTAAAACTGGCTTGCAGAATTTGCCGAGCCTCTTTGTCGCAGGCAAGGTCCACGTCGAATATGGTCTTCGTCGAGAAGTAACGGGAAAGAATATTAATCTCTTCGGGAGTGATCGCTATCTCAGCCATGGTGGGACGTATGGACTGTATCCTAGTCATACTCGACTTGGCACCTCCTGAGTGAGATGCGTGGTTTGCCAAAACGAGTCGAAATGGAGACTCATAACCGTCACAGGTGCGGCCTGTGCTCGTGCACCTGTGGCAAAAAGGCTTTTCCTCGTCACATTTGATCTTCCTTGTTCTAATACCGAGTTAGCGGAATGGCGGCAAAGCTGGTCCCCTGGCCGGGCAATGATTTCGCACCAGCGGTCTCATTTCAGTCTTACCTGCATGTTACACATCCAGATTTCACCTTGGGTCTGCTTTGAATGGTGCATTTGCGTGACAAAAGACCGCCAGTCGTTTGGGCGCTAGGTATTTGAGACATGCTCAGTGGGTGCGCTGCGCCGCACGAATTGACGACGATTGAAGCAAACCTTAAGTTGTGCACTTTCATTGCCAGAAGCCGAATGCAGGCAACTCGCTTAATATAGAGGTTCGCTTCATGTGACATTATATAAGCTTAGGTATGCAGGCCTGAAAATGGTTGAAGCCACAAGTAAGCGCTAGTCCGCCTTCGTGTGTTGAGACTGTCACAACACCCGCTGCTCGCTGATGAAAGATGAAAGACAACAACCCCCTCCTCATGGTCAATTGGAACGCCGTATTAGAGGTGTATTAGCGCCATAACCTTTAGTGTATTGTATATGTTCAATTGCGGTGATGCAAATCTAATTCTGGCAGTCGCAAAGGTGTCTTTAATCACATGCCTCTAGAATGCGTCTGAAGAACCTCTAAACTTTGTGTGAATCCGATAAAACGACTGACCCGAGATGCGTTTCATTTAGCAGAATATGGGATCCGTCTCTTGCCGTCCAAGGTCTCTTGGAAAAAGTCCTGGAAGGTGGTTGACTTGAAATCAGGGTACAGATCTCCAGCCATGATATAACCCAAGCGATTAGCACCTTCAGGGCTATTGTCGCCGTCAATGAAGGAGGAGTAGTAATATTCCAGCCACAGTCTGCCGACAAGGAGAAGGTAGTTACTTGGATCGCTTTGGACCTGGGTGGCTGCGCCGTCGATCATCGACTTCAGCTCTCCTGCCGAAACCTGAATGGGAAAGTCTCGTTAGGCTTTGCTAGAGAGGGACTCAGGAGCTCAGGACATACATGTTTTCGGGTGACAATCTCGCCCGTAAGCTCTTCAGCAATGGCAAACATTTCGTTGAAAGACATGCTTGCTCCCGCAGCCATAACCCGCTTGTTGACAGTCCTAGGGTCGACAATGATGCGAGTGACGAACTTTCCGACGTCTTCGTTGTCAATTACATAGGATTTCATGTTTCCATCTCCAGGGACCAAGTTCCTGAGGAAGTCCGGAAGCGCAATGGCATGATCAGTTTTCCCAGATGGCACCTCGGGTATGAAGCCGTTGTACCACCACCCGACATCGATGACAGTGTAGGGAATTAGGCATGCTTCAAGCTCTTGGTAAATCTTCTCTTTCTGTAACGAGATCAGCGGTGGCTACAAGCCTTCAGCACGTGCACAACACGTTAGACACGCCGACTGAGTGGCGTGAGTACTGAACCACTGCGTCAAGACGAAGAATAACATTCAGACGTACCATGGGTTGTACAGTAGAGATACCGTTTGGGTCAAGAGCCATCGCAAAAGCGGTTGGGATGAACCGATTGATGTTTGCGAGTTTGGAAGCTCGGATCAGGGGGAGTTGGGAATCGAGCGCGTTGGGGGGCACTGAAGCAACGACGACATCCTGGCCTTCTAAAACCCTGGCAGCTTCAACGTCTGGCCCATTTAAATTGATAGCTACGACTTTGACACCGCGCTGGGCCAGCTTAGCATAGGCAGGCTTCGAAATTGAAGAGGGCCGGACTAGAGCTGTGACTTCCTAAGCAGCAGCATTAGCTTACATGTTTGATGCCAATGTGTCAATCATGCGCCATAAGTGACATGACGGCAATAAATACGTACAAAGCACGGAGTCGTTGATGCGAGAAGCTGATCTACGATCAGGCCCGCTGACTCGCCAGCGGCGCCGTAAACGGCAACCTTAATGGCCTTGGAGACCATTTTGACAGCGGTTACGTCGTCAGAGCTGACGCTTTGAATTTTTAGTTTGAGTGCACTGAATTGATAGCTAAAGGCTAACTGCCTGATTGATTTTAGAATTATATACTATCTTGGCCCATGACCGCGCTTCAGAGCACTGCAACAGAGACGGCTCCCCTTACCAAGCAAGAAAGATGATCGCGCATGCTCTTTTTCGGAATAACTATAGGATCATTCCGCCTCAGCTGAGGAGTTACTGATGTCTGTGACCGGCGCGGATATGACGGGGACTCGGGGACCGGAACATGTGTGGGGCCACCGGCTCGGTACAAAATGGAGAGCCGGAACATCTGCGGGGAACCGAGAAATTCCCAATCAATAGACGTCGGATCCTAGCGGAAACAATTACAATGGAGGTATTACCTTCGTTTTCAGTAAAGTCTCGGAGCGTCTTGTATTATTAAGCCAACTCCGGCAGTCTGAGCGTGACAATTGAAAGCTCAGCCATCCGCCTTCCTTCTTTCGCATCTTCCGAGCTTCAGGATCCGCGCCCGCCCGAAGTTCCGAACATGTCTACGCCGACAGACACAGCTATCCCAGAATCATCGGCGGCGCGGTCCAGATGGGCTTGCACCCCGTGCAGGCAGCGAAAGGTACTGCCATCATCGCCATGCGTGCCGTTGGTAGCGCAGCCGCTAACGGGCCGAGTAGGTGAAATGCGACTCAACCCTGCCTGCATGTTCGACATGCGTGGCGAAGGAGCTAGACTGCATCTACTCCCACAAACGGCTCCGCGCGCCCACCAGTAGAAAGTATCGCTTACTCAATGTCAATAACTCGATGGAAGTGTTTCTGATGCACTAGAACAGGTCAGGTTCCAGCTCCCGCGCTGGTATGATCAGGAGACTACAGCAGGTTGAGCAGATGGTGCAAAACTTGGCACCCGGCCACACAGTCGAAAATGTCGCTCACTCGCCGAGCTCGAGACATCTCCACGTCTCTCCACTTGCCCACCTGGGGTTCGAAAATCTGTGCGAAGAGTCATACGTAACGAATCCCGATGTTTTATACCGTCTCATACGCCGAGACGCACTACCGATGGCTAGGATAGGGGCGCCTGATCAGCCAGTTGTCAAGTTCCGATACCAAAGTAGGTCGCTGATTAGCCACAAAATTCATGACGGCCCCTTTGTCCGGGCGGGCTTGCAGTTGGGCTGACAACACACACAGGCTCATGTTCCATATTTGATGTCCTTCACATAAAATGCGTAGATTACATGATCGGCAACCAAACGTTTAGCAAGCTGTGTAGCCGAGCACTACATCCAAACTTCCCAATTCTCAATCTTTCAGGGGGCGCGATGCATCCTATACCAATGCTAGACACGGCGCTGCAGTGTCTCAGAAGTAGGCCTACCCATCCTTGAATAGTTCCTACCGCCTCTAACGTTACTCAGTCTTCCTAGAATCGGTGAACACCGATTTCCAGTTCTTTCGAAACGAGGAGATCGACAGCTTGTTCCAGAATTATGTCCAGGGGCAGTCTTGTCCAAGTCAAGGCGCTTATGCAGCCATCAGCATGGTGTGTGCATGCGCCTCGTGGACGTTGCATGGCGCCCAGAATGCGATTACGGAGAGGCTTGTGGAGACCGCCATGCGGGTGCTGCCCGGTATCATGATGGAGGCCCCCGACACATTAGCAGTGGGCGCGATGCTCCTGATGGTACGTCAATTGAATCAAACGCCATGTTGTTAAGCACGTACTAAACCAAGGCTCGTTAGACGACCTATCTTGAATCCACGTCTAGAAGCTCTGCAGCTGCGACTTTACTTGGATCAGTAACGCAGATGATGTTGCTGGCTGGATACCATGTGGCAACATCTTCTGGAGCTCTATCGACCGATCAGCTTCACGACAGCCGGCTGTTATCTCGGGCTTATGTTATGGACCAAAGGCTGTCACTGCGACTTTTTAAATCCCCTCTCCTGACTGCAAGGCTAGTTGTTGGTTTACCTGACGAAAATCCTGTTGACCATCATGGAGTTATCAATCTTCCGGAAGGTCGCAGCGTCAACTATCTACGGCAGCAAGTGCTTCTTGCGAAGATACAGGCCAGAGTGTACAACGACCTCCGATCGCCTCTGCCTTGCGCAAAAGGCAGTCAGAACCACTTGAAAGCCACCTCAAAATTACTTTCAGAGCTTCAGCAATGGGCAAATGACCTGCCTGCGTCTTGTAGGCCTCCAAATGTAGCAGAAGACTTGCCGATTTCCCATTCATTGCAGATTACCTCTCTGCATCGCAGCTACTTCCAAACAATAATCGCCATCCACTCCTCCATATTTTGCCACGTCCCATACTTCAGCGACCCCGCCATCCGCGGAATCACGATGAAGGTAGTAGATGAGTGCGCCTCTGCCGCAAGAAACATTCTCTGTCTTTCCATGCACACGGAAAAAGGCCATCAGTTCATGCTGTAAGTCTCAACTATAACAACACAGTCGCCGAATACTAATCGTGGGCCTGAAGGGATGTGTGCCATGACCTTGGGTGGAGTATTGACGGATTGCTGTTAAGCATCGTGCTAAATAGGCAGACTCCTGGCGCCCACCAAGACATGGAGCTTTTGAAGAAGTTTGTGGCGTCTTTTGAGGCAAACAAGCCACAGCATGATGGGAAAGTCGTTTATGAGGCTTTGACAATCATTTACAAGAGCGCCCTAGAAGCTCTGAGCCATACGAACCAGGACCAAGATCAGCCTGATCCTGCATGGTCAAGACTTCCGGTGCCAGCTTCCGATCTGCAACTCAATCCACCCAGCTTTGATGATCATTCGGACAACACATGTATCTACTGACATAGCTAGAGATATTCAGGACTTCTTGTGAGGGTTAGTATTCTTGTTCGATGAGTATGGTGACAGAAAGGGGTCTTGTAACGTCTAGTAATGGAATTGACGCCTGCGCGAACCTGAAAACGCGGTGTAAAACAAGTAGATGGAATCAAAAGATTGGCAGCGCAAGATGACTACTCGTGTGGAGTTGAAGAATTGGTCGGGTCCCCGTGAGGCTGCTAGACACGCCGTAGGGCGCAGGTTTCAGTCGGCACCGGGGTCTTAATGGGTCATGTTCACCCTCGACTATTCCTTATCCTCGGCCAACAGTCAACAATAATACCCAGTGATATTGATCAAGGGTTTTGCCAACTTCCTCGTGGAAATGCGCCACTCTGTGCCACAAAGTCCACGACGGGCTGAAACGCTTTGCCTCCCCGAGTGACTCAAACCCCAGTAAAACCCGACTCGTGTTCTTGCTGTTGGAACTACGGAGGAGCACAGCCACAATTGCTTCTGTATTTGTAGTTAAAGCTGGCAATATCATCTCCACCTCATTTGAACCAGATTTCATTCCAAAGAAAATCGTACTTGACGGATTTAAACCTGACAATTTATCAAAACCAACATTACAACTCGCTACTTGGGACGATGACACACCAAACGCCACACCTTCTCACCAAGGGCGAACTGCGAAGAGTCGAAGAGTGCGCCAAGGAAAACGGGACGTTTGCAGAGTCCTGGAACAGTGACCAAGTCGTCATTGTAGGCTGCGAACCCGTCGGCGCGCATGTCTGCGTCACGGAAACGCCGTTTATGGAGCTGGACATCCTCTCGCCAACTGCGAATCCACTTTCGGGCTCCAAGTCCAGCAAACAACACCCCACAAGGCAGTGCTGCAAGAAAAAGATCATTGTGCTGGAGAAGTCCAACTTCAACAAGAGACTCCGACTGAAGCCATGGCATTACCGCTACGGCTCCACCGAGGAGCTCTCACTTTACTACGACGACGCAAAAGCGAAGGTCAAAGAGATCTTTTCTCAACTTGCGGCCGAGTACGTGTCGGTTTGCATCGTTAGCCACGATATGCAGGACTCTCTCAGCTCACTACAGAAATTCGATATTGAGCTGCCATCGACAACAATTTTCGTGGACCTTATCAAAGTCTTGGAGCACCAGAGTCGACATGATGGTCAGGGCATCCCTAAAGCTTTGAGAAAATACACCGACGACAACATCGCGATTCGCAACGGCCGATATGATCGACGACCTTGGCCTCTAGCAGGTCAATACGGCATGCCAAATTATGCCCTAGTCGAAGTGCTCGGGCCAGCTGCGGAGGGTTGCAAGCGAGATAAGACTGAGAAGGAGGATACTGCTCTGAAGAGAATTGCAAAACGAGCGGCTGTGGACAACCTAAATTTAGGCCACAGAAGACGGTCTTGAGTGTAGCGACGTTCGAGATGAGATGCCTTCATGAACGATCATGTTACCTGCTGTTGATCCATGTCCCGCGTATCCCGCGCGTCGGCAGGTACCGAATGGCGCTGCATGCTGCACCGCGCACAGCCGACGCGCTTAGATAAACTACTCTGATGAGCAAGGGTCTTAGGGAGGAGATTGTAATACGAGGTAGTAATTGCCAAGGCACCAGGACCCTCTTCAGCGGCTTTAGAATCACATTTAAGGCAGGTTGACCAGCAAAACTTCTTGGCAGCGCATGGCATTTTCCAGCTTTCAATTTGTGATGTGAAAATCGAGCTTTTGAGCTCCGTCCGGTCGCATGACGTCTTGGACGAATCGAGCAGGTAGCTGAATTTCACGAGTCAAATCCCGGGCAAATGCAACCCGATGCCGGCTGTCAAGTTTATCTCCTCCACGAACGCGATGTTCACGACCGCTGAATGGCCTATCGTTTTGGCGGAGCGACCAGAAGAGGGAGTTCGAAGTTGGTAGATGGCGCATGATTCTATTTTCCCGCCACTTCGTGGAATTCAGCGCCCCGATCATCGAAATGTATAAAGACTCGTGAAAGACCGCCAGAATCACAGCCATTGCTCTCACCATCGGCATTCCAATCCTCTCATCTCCGTTCCTATCTTCGTGGCACTCTCTTCATCATGCAGCTCAAGTCTTTCCTGGTCGCCGCCTCCATGGTGGCATCCGCCTTCGCCAAGCGAACTTGCGGAACCGACGAGCCCACCGAGGTCGACCTCCAGGTCGCACAGGACTTCAAGCTCATGGAGTCTAGCGCCCGCCTTGCCGGCAACGGCTCCCGTGCCGCCGGCCCCATTCAGATCAACGTCTACTGGCACGTCGTGGCCTCCTCGCAGTCCGTGAGCGGCGGCTACCTGACCCAGGCCACCCTGGATGAGCAGCTTGCCGTGCTCAACACCGCCTACGCCCCCCACGACATCTCCTTTGTCGAGGCTGGCGCTGACTGGACCGTCAACTCCAACTGGGCTGCTGACCGTGCTGAGGTCGCGATGAAGAACGCTCTTCGCAAGGGCACGTACGCTGATCTGAATGTGTACTTCGTCGCTAGCTCGCGCTACCTTGGCTATGCTCGCTTCCCCCAGACCATCACCCCCGGATCTGCTGAGTTCAACCGCGACGGCGTTGTCATTCTCTCTACCACCGTCCCGGGAGGCAGCTACGAGGAGTACAGCCTTGGTCACACTGCCACTCACGAGATCGGTCACTGGCTCGGACGTAAGTGACTACTCAATGGCGAATACTGCACACATAGAGCATCAGCTAATTCGAGACAGTCTTCCACACCTTCCAGGGCTACGCCTGCAGCGGCGATGGCGACTCTGTTGACGACACCCCCTACGAGGCTGAGGTAAATATCCCCAGCGCAGCATGCCGGAGTGAGAGATCATTGGCTAACTAGTCACAACAGGAGTCCTACGGTTGCCAGATTGGTCGCGACACCTGCCCCAACTCTGCCGGTACCGACTCTGTCACCAACTACATGAACTACTCCGACGAGTAAGTAACCATCAAGCTCATTTCTAAACATCAAAACTAACTCCTTACCAGCGAGTGCTTCACTGGATTCTCCAACGGACAGCAGAGCCGTATCTACAGCTACTGGGATACCTACCGCGCCCAGTACCAGTAAATATTAGACATGTGCTCGTAGTGTTTATAAGACTACTTACTGTCTTGGTCCTGGTAGTGTTTGGTTTGCTCACGTGCAGCAGTTGATAATCTAATGGGACGATGAAGATTGGAAATTTCGATTGCCTTTGGCTCCTACTTAGATCAAGACTTAATCTATCATCAACAATTTTTCAATGATTGACCACACTTTGGCAAGAATCGGGGCGACTTAAGAGGCTGTCGATTCGCATTTACGACAGGAGATCGGGGGATGCTGGTGATGCAAATACAGTGGACCCCGGATGCGTCCTCTACGCCCAAAATTCTCGCCGGTCTTAACTTCTTTCTTAACGCCGTGCCGTGCGAAAAAGCACCTGCTCCGTGGGCCAATGCTAAATCAACGCGCACTCATCGAACTGCCGGAACACAAAGCTTAAGACCCACTCTCGGACCTCGACTCGGGAAGGATCATGAAGAGTTCATCCGCCTCCGTGTGACACCCGTGCCGGGCCGGCCGGATGCTTCGATCGGAACATGAATGTCAGTAGACCATCCCCTCAAAATTTAACAACAGTAGCACAGAGATGACAAATCAGGCCAGTCTCCCTGTTTGTCAATTGCCATCGTCTTTGCGGTCTCACATCGCCCGGTCTTGGCGTGCCTTCATAGAGGCTGCCCCAATTGGAGTGACGTAACGGGGTTCAGCTGCGGCTACGAATACCGATGTCACACAAGGTGCGGCTATATAAAGTCAGCGAGCCTTCCCAGATAGAATCCACCAATAAGTGCTCGGATGCATCCCTTTTCTTCGGCGCCGAATGATTCGCAATGGTCAAATTCCTCACCATTGCCTGCGTCACCACTGGCGTAGTCGCTGCCTCTAGCAATGGCTCATCAATCACTCCTATTCTCGATTGCGGTCAAATTTGTCAACGACCACCAGTTAAGAGCCTTGAGTACCTGACAGCTGTTCATTCCATTCAGCATCTGCTCGCTCGATATCCGGTAGCCATCGATGGAAAGGACTGGAGCCAACTTGGCAGCATCTTCGCAGCCGACGCTACCGCCAGTTTCCCGCCTCCCTTGGGTGACCTCGTTGGCTCGGACGGCATCACATCAGCCATCTCTCAAGGACTGGGCATCTTTGCCAGCACTCACCATAGCTACGGCACTCAACTCATCGAAGTGTGTTTAGAAGATACCGCTGTCGCGCTGACATACTTGACTGCAACCCATTTCATGGTGGAGACAACGAACCTCTCGGAGACCGTTGGTTTAGATAAGGTCTTGTATAGTTACGGACAGTATCTCGACAAAGTGGAACGAGGAGTAGACGGAAAGTGGAAGATCGCTCAAAGAACCCTAGCAATGATGGTGAGTCTTGATTCCGACAAATATGGGAAGCCATCGTTAAAACAACTTTTGATAGGGTCCCAGCATCTCCGAGATATCTATCCGATAGCAAAGATGAAACGTGTTCAAGAACTGTGTTGCTTGATCGAACCTCTTAGAACTACAATACCACATATAATCTGCGTACCTGCTATCGCACATTGATTATGCATCTGTGTTACCATTGTACTTGAACAGCACAACGTTGGTAGATTTACCTGCCATTGAATGGACCCCCGTGGCCATTGCTGCTTATTGCATGATGGCTGATAGTAGAGAAGAACGACGGCCAGACCGCCCCCTTGATACGCCCAGGCTTCGGTAAAGAATTCTGGGAGATGCCTGACGACGATGCCGCGTTCCCCAGTACCGTGCAGGAGTGGAAGGCATCCACCCTGACGTGGTGAGAGATCGCTATCTTGTGGTTCGTTGAGAAGATAACAAACAAGCCCGATTGGTATGTCAAGGTCTTTGATGAGCAAATTGTTGCAAAGTGGAAGCAGGAGGTTATGGCTGTTGACTGGAAGGCTGTGGGTTTAAACTATGCTTACTTCGATGACGATTTGTTTACCTTCGTAAGTGACTGGCTTCAAATAAGGCGGATCCTTGCTGGGAGTTTGGTTCTAAATTGGTAGTGCAGGCGCTCGCCGAGCTTCGCGAGAAGGCCAAGTTTTCCAGTGCTACTGGTCTGATCCCATCTTCGATGCCGCGTCCACCATCATCAAGTCTGACAGCGCCATTACCCCGGAAGTAAAGGAGGCCCACAAACAGGGCGTAGCCGCTCTCGAAGATATCCCCGAAAACGAAAAGGACGGACATCCCCGCAGCGACGGCAAGGTCCTGAACCTCGTGCACCCTTCTCTCTGGCCTCTTGTCTTTGAAAAGTCTCGCATCGTCGCCGATAAGCGCATTCTGCTCAAAGACACACTGGCGGCCTCCGGCAGAAGAGGCGTCATCCCCGTTCCCAAGAAGAGGTATCCCAACCACCAATCCTCCGACGACCTGTGGTCCGTCAAGTACCAGTGGCTCCCGTGCGACATCGACATCGAAGAAGATCATGAGCTACATTAACAACATGCACCCTAGGCATCATGCCGGCCTCTACACCGCCATCGAAAAGATGGTCGGGAAAGCTCTCCCCATGTAGGAATATACAGATGGCACGAAGACCACGAGACCCTCCGCATCCCTTGTGAATCAGCCCGGACACAATGCCTAGCAGAGTGCGCCCGGTGATGCTCTCCCAAAAACCGCCCGGTAGACCCAGACGAGGCCAAAGGTGACGAGGTCGAATTCAACGACGATTACGGCGGGTACAGCGCCAAGAGCCCAGCGGCGAACTCTGGCGGAGAGACAGGAACTGGTTCGAATGCACCCACCCAATCGAGAGGCCGCCCGTCCCCACATACAATCTCAGGGAGCTCCAGCTCAAGGACGTCGACCTGAACTCCAGTTTCTTCAATCACGCCGACCGCATCCAGGTCATCATGAAGCTCGCCAACACCCACCTCACGCCTAAGACGCCGACGTACAACAGCAGGTCCTAGCATATTGAGGGCTAGCTAACGAGCATATCGCCACTATAGCGCTCTACTCCTATAATAATAAGAATATTACTTATAGCTACCTTGCTTCCTGCACTATTACTAATAGGGAGGAGCTTATAGGGGAGCTTAACTATAAGTAGAGCGACTTCTATACTTTTAACTAGACGTTAGTAATTAACTTAGATGCAGACATAAACTAGCGTTTTAGTAGCATACTCACGCGCGAGGATAAGCTACTTACGTTCCTTAACGTCTATTAGTACTTCATTACGCTGTTTGAGCTTATTGGTAAGACTAAGGCTAGCCACCGAAAGATCCTCGCGCTGTTCCTCGTGGACCCAAGGATTCCGATTATTAATACGGCGAATATGCCGCCGCAGCAAAGGGGGTGGTGGAAGGAGGGCGTGGCGCTGGGACACCGTTTGGGAACGTTGCCGCCCGAGCTTACGGATATGGTGTTTTATAATATGGATTTTCCGCTTGGGATCGAGGAGGCCGCGAGGATACGGGCTGATTTAATGGAGGAGAGGACGACGATTGCTGAGCAGGGGATGGGGATAATGACGACAATGGAGTGGGACTTTTGTGAGCACTGAGTCTGGCGGAACCGGGCCTCGTTGTGTTGTGTTCGTATCGAAGGAGGGGGACCGCTCAGTCGTCATGGCGGTGAAGGGAGAGGAACTTGGAAGCTGTGTTGAGACGTTTGCTTGGCCGGCCTGAAAGTTGACACCAGATATGTCAATAGCTGTGCAAATCGTGTCACCCCAGCCTCAGCTCCTGACTGCGGTTGTGCTCCGATTGGACGATCTGACGGCATCCTGCGCTCCCGCAGTAAGACATGTGGGTTGTGTCTCATGCCGTTTGCCAGATACGTTAGTTGCTTGTGAGACAGTAGGGCTGAAGCTAGGGCACAAGATCTTACTCATGAGGATCGTCTTGCTCAGGAGTATGCGTTAGTTGCCGCATTTTTTGCATCAATCTTTGTTCCCGGGCAACTTTCCCTCGATCATCGTTTCTCACTAGCTACGTGTTTTTTTGGCCATTGAAATCATCTACTCTCAAAGGCAGCACCTCATCGACATCACCATCATGCTTTACTATCTCATCAACAGCTTCAAGTCCAACAAGGACGCCGAACCTAGCCTCGAGCCATTAAACGACCAAGATGCCCACAACCCTGAAACATGGCTCACCCACAAAATCCATCAAGCAACAACTACAACTCCCGCCCTCAATTCAAAGACCGCCACCACCACCGTTGTCGACTCCCTAAACCCAAGCCTCGCCAACCTCCGCACCGTCGTCCAAAACGATCCCTACCTCGCCGTCCTAGCAGACCAAATGTTCACCCAAGCCGCCGCCCTCCAGCCCCGCGACCCGACAGAGCAACCAGCCGTCCAGTCCTTCCGCCAGTTCCTGCAAGTCGTCAACGTCATCATGCGTTCCGGGCCGCAATTCTTCGACAGGCCGGGAAACGAGGACGCCATGGGGTTCGTGGCGGCGCCGATTAATGCCTTGTTGAATTATCCCATGGGCACGGCGGCCGGTTACGAGTTCTTTCGGAGTTCGGAGGTAAATGAGGCGATGGGAAAGGTGTTAAGTGCTTGGGGCGAGTTTCTTGCTTCGGGGGACTCGAGGGGATGTTTGGGGGCTTGGGTGTCTACTTCTGGGCAGATTGTGATGGCGGAGAGGGCGAATGGAAGAGTTGGGGAGGGTGAGGGTGGTGGGCTAGGGTTTAGGAAGTTGTTTGTTTGTCCTGACCCTGAGGATACGGAGACTCTTGGGTATGAATCATGGGATGCGTTTTTTGTGAGGCGGTTTCGGGAGGGCGTGCGGCATGTGGAGTTCCCTGATGATGAGGAACATATTGGCGGAGAAAAGCTGTCTGTCACGGGCAGCAGTGGCACCGTTGACATTCAAGTCGACGACAACACCTCGGTCATCGTCAACGCGTGCGAGTCGGCGCCGCTGCAAGTCGTATCCGATGTCGCCCTACGAGCAGACGTCACGCTAAAGGGCCAGCCGTACTCCCTTACCGACATGCTAAACAATAACGCGCTCGCGCCGCAGTTTGTCGGCGGGACGATCTACCAGGCCTACCTGAGCGCCTTCAGCTACCACCGCTGGCATGCGCCCGTGAGCGGACGGATCGTCGAGTTAGAGATGATCCCGGGGACGTACTTCAGCGTGAACCGGTACCAGGGCATAGCTGCGCGTGGGAACGACATTGATAATACAGATGGTCCGGATCCGCAGGCTCCGTGTAGGTCGCAGGCGTACACCGCTTCCGTGGCGACGCGGGCGGTGGTATATATCCAGGCGCGGAATCCGAAGATCGGGCTAATGGCGATTGTGTTTGTGGGTATGACGGAGGTGTCTAGCTGCGAGGTGACTGTAAGTGCTAGCGAGGAGGTTGTGAAGGGACAGGAGATTGGTATGTTCCATTTTGGGGGGAGTTCGCATTGTTTGGTGTTCCGGCCGGGTGTCGATTTGAGATTTGTTGAGAACCGGTCTCCTGCGGGGCTCGAGGGGAACAATAGGGTGAATAGTGCGCTCGCTTTGGTTGAGTGAGGGCGCAGGCTGGTGCATTTGTAAATGCTCGAGTTCAGGGCAAGAATGAATCCACCATGTCTAGTTCTCTGGCTTAGTATTACTGTTACTAAATACCCCCTGGATGGGAAGTGTAGGATTTAATAGAATGTGCCGACGAGATAGATGTACTGCCCCAGACATATTTTGCAACCAGCACACATGATCGAGATCTCGTTCTCCGGCTGATGTGCGTATTAGAAAGATCAAATAAAGGCGCCGCGTATCTGGGGTTCATGATGTAGGAACACTGCAAGAGAAAGGGTGTTCTGGGTAGCCATGCACCTTTCATTGTAGTACCAAGAGATTGCGTGATCTTGACTCTCACAACATCAGTCACCAGATAGGTCTTCGTTCCCTCTCTAAAAACCTCAAACCCAGGAATCTCTGAGTGGAATTGCTAAGCAACAGTCAGCTAGTCAATTCGCAAGAAATGGGTACAGTACGACAAACCCCATTGACAAACGTCATGAAATCGAGGTCAGTATCGTTGCGGATAGCGTCGGCAAACTCTGGAGGGAGGATGACCATTTCGCCCACATCAGCGATGATGCGGAAAGATGTGGTGTTGCCAACCTGGATGGAAGGTCCATGTTAGAGTTTCCCCGAAATAGAGCGCCTTTTACTCACCTTAGCAAACCCATCTTCTTCTAAACAGTGTCTCAAAACCATCCGCTTCGTCAGTAGGATAGTTCGCAGCCAATGAGGCCTCTGGGCTGTGCGTGACATCTATTTTGCGAATGATCGCAAATTGAAGAACTGTCTCACTTTGGTGGATCTGGTTTGTGGTTCACATCAACAGCCGTGACGTTCATCTTTAAATACTTTCTTCGCATGATTGATCCAGCAGGGACTGGCTCATCGCAACCTGATTATGGAGGTCTAGAGTCTCAGAAGAACTCCGATACATCTACCTATGCCGCGCAGAAATGGACTAAAATATTATTCGGGCGCTCTGTCAAGCCCGATACGAATACCCACCGGGTTGTGAATGCCTTTGACAGCCCCGGTATATCCACTTTTCGGTGAGCTCTACCGTCGGCACTGACTTGATATATAGCATTTTGACGATTACTGATCCTGTCGTCGACCTCGATGTGGAAGGTCGATGCGACGATGTGGACCATTCAACTAATATGATTGGCGTCTTATAAGAGGTAATTACGACTGATGCATATTACTAGCCACCATTGTGGAGGACCCTCACCCAGAAGTGGAAGAAGTCTCAACTGAGCCATGGCCGAATAGTCTTGCCAAGCATTACCAGGACCTGTCGAAAAGCACATATTTCTCAAAGAGAGTCTAATCGATTGCTAGCGCTAACATGCCATCTGATGTCATCAGACGTCTCGCACGGAGATTGTCATTCACGTAAGCTACCCATCGAACGAATCCTATTTCCCGTCTACGGAGTTAAGTGGTGAAGCGGGCATCAGATCTCCGGACAAGTGATGGTACGTACGCATACTGACCATGAGTGATGATAAGTCTGCCCGCCCATAATACCGAATATTACGTCAAACTCTTCGACTTCATCAACCCTCACATTTTTCCTTGCAATCTCAATATCCTCGTTGTCACCACTATCAAAAGGCCGATCTCGACTTCGGTTTGCAGTATCCTTCTTCTGTCATATCGTGTAGAATGTATGGCTCTTCTGTTGTCTCTTCTCCTGCCAGAGTATCCACTTGTAGAACCTACTCCGCCATCCAAAGTCCTCTTCCTTGTGCGCTAGATTACGTCTGCATTGACGCTACCAGGACTAAGAACTATCATCATTGCTGGCGTTCCTAATCAAAGACCGGCGTCTTCGCCATGGCAAATCTGTATCAGAGGCGCTCTCTTCGTCCGTGGGGTAGTTGTCATCAGAGTCTCGGCCGATAATGCTTCTCTCCTTTCGCTTCTCAATGGTCGGACATTCGCATCGCCGTGGCGCCTTCTCTACGGCGGGATCCGCGCCATGTCGCAAAAGTAGATCTCGCACCTCCCCTCGAGCCCATGTCAGAGCGGTTCCGACGCCAATGCGCCCTTCCCAACATTCCGTGTCCAGGTCCGACTCGGCATCCGAAGAATCTGGCGTATGATCCAGCTCACGGCGCTTCCGCTCGCGTTTAGTTGGCATTCTGCCGTGTGCATGATGCACGATAGGCAAATTCACATCCGCCCCGTGTGCCAGCAAAGTCTCCACGACATCGATATGCGCACGCTCCGCCGCCATCGCTAGAGAGTTAAGCGGTGCATAACAGGCATCATGGGAAAAGCGTTTCCACTTGACGAAAGAGACGCAAGTACACTCTGCTGGTGGGAGATTGTCGAGCTGTGCGTTCGGATCGGCCCCTGAGGTAAGAAGAGCTTCGGTAATAGGTTGATGACCGTTCCGTGCTGCTATCAGCAAGGGCCTGCAACCTCCTTTGCTTGCAAGGTTTGGATCGGCGCCGTGCTGGAGCAGAAGGTTCACGAAATCCAGTTTACCTTGGCTGACGGCGATGAACAAGGGAGTGATGCCTTCCTGAGTTGTGGCATTTACAGCGGCGCCATTCTGCAGCATGTACTCTGCCAATGCTGTCTGACGCTCGTTGGCTGTCTGACTCTTGCTGATAATTACCTCAAGAATTGGATCGAGTGCAGCATTGTGAGGTTTGGGCAGGAATTCCGCGCCAAAGAGAGTGTCAAATGGGACCATCTCGGCTTTCTTGCTGTCGTTTGACGCCGCACCTCGTTTGATCTCATATTCAGACTGTGCAAGGTTAGCGGTCTTGGGATTCACATCTGTGGGGAAGATCCTACATCTGAACTCGCTTCAGCATTTTCTCTTGCACGATGTTTCGCCCAGTGATTCATTTGATGCTTGGCCAAAAATTCCATGGCTGATCGGTGTGTGACTGGGTAATCTGGGTTTGTTGCTGCACCAAACGCACACCCTTCAGACCGTCCGCCACTGGTGAGCGCCAACTGGCTGTTACTCATCCAAGTATAGCGGTCATTGCCACCAATCACCAGATGGAGCGGCGTGATACCTGCCTTTTGAACTCTGTGCTTGTTCCATTTGGTCCGCCGACGGGTTGGAACTTGGAACTTGATGTCCGCTCCGTATGCCAGAAGGATTGCGGTGGTCACGTATGCTTTGGTCCATAACGCGATTAAAACGGGATTCCAAGCCAGGTCCTCCAATTCCCAAGAAACGCTCCCGCTGTTTGTACCCAGTGGACTTGTCATAGAGACTCCGTGCTTGTCGGGATTCGCGCCTACCTCCAACAGGGCCCAGCATAACTGAGCATTCCCAAGTCTTGACGCTACCACCAGCGGCACTTCTTCCTTGGCTAGCTCCCGTACCATGGCTTCTCGCTCAGAGAGTGAGCCGAAGGTGGCCAATGCATGAAAAGCCTTGTTGTATGAGTTGGTACCGGGGTAAAGATCAGCAAGTTGTTTGTTGGTAACGCGTCGTGCCCAGTAGCCGAGTACCGTTCTTCCACGAGAGTCGGCCGCAAGACTGTCCGATCCTGCTTGCAGGAGGTAATTCGAGGTTGAGTTTGGACGGCCGTTGAAGCCGGACAGGAAATAGTGCATGAGAGCAGTTCGGCCGGTGCCATCTCGCTTGTCCGGGTCCGCACCTTCATCTAAAAGGACCCTTGTCGCTGTTGGGGATTCCCTTACAGCAAGCATCAGCGGCGTCTTTCCAGCCCCGCAGAGTGCGTCAATTGCTGATGTCTCGGTGGAGGCTGATCTTGCCAAAGATTTCACCGATGTAGTAATTTGAGATTTCTGACGGCGCGGCGGGCGCTTCTGGGTTTCTCTGAGTGCCCCATTGAGCTCCTTGGCAGATTCGTCGGGATGAAGTAGACAATGCAAAGCACTGTATCCATTAGAAGACCATAGGGTGGGGTCTGCTCCCAAGTCGAGAAGTGTTTGAATCAAGTCGTGCTCCCAAAGTGTAGCTGCAATCTGCAAGGCGGTCTTGCTGCCATTCCACAACTTACAGTCAACGTCTGCTCCGGCGTGGATGAGCCTGCTGCACAAACAGGGGACCAAGAACCCCCCTGCTTCCCACAGCTCCTGCGCAAAGGCCGAGGCGTTTTCTGAAGACTCTATCCAGTCCGCCAGCACACCAAACAGGTCGGTGCTTGTCGGTGATGTTTTCTGACCCGCAACATATATCGTCGGGGTAGAAGGGGGCCAAGGTTTTGACCAACCTTTTTGACGGTTCTCTCTCAATTCCTTCCCAGTCCGGGAGCACCATCCGCTCCATCTATATCGGCGGTATAAGATGTGTTCTGGTACGTCGCGCAGCCAATCCAGATCCTTCATGGAAGCCAACGTCGTGCGAAAAGCGTTTGGCGAAATATCTGTGATACATGTCCAGATCATTGTCGGAATCGGAACGTCTGCTGAGAGCACTGAGCCTCGATCCGTTTCCTCTTGCTCCAATGCCCGGACTGCTTGATTCGCACTTATCATTTCATATTCCCCAAAGGCCATGTGGAACGCATCGACAAGTTCGTAACCGCCTTCGGCCTCCCAGCAAGGACCTTCGGTTTGCTGTCTATCGATACGGGTTAGTGATGTTTCAGCCAAACGTATTGTTCCCTGGTTTTACTTACTTTGGCACTGGGTTTACATCTTTGAACAGAGCATGGACCTTGCTACCCATTGGAAAGAGCTTCTGCAGACAGCTTTCTCTCAGAAAGGTTCCATATTGGGCGCTGTACCGACGAGCCTTCTCGTCTGGTGCCCAGACACTAGAGACTACTGCTTTTGGATGCACAGTGCTAGTGTTGATGTACTCATCGAGGGGAAGGAACCAAGCCCAGAATTCGGGCTTGCCAATATCCAGAATTGCAGAATATTGATCGTCAAGAAGAGACTTTGAAGCGCCATCACCGCCAAGGATGATGTGTTCATGCCAGTTGAGCGCTGCGTACATAAAGAACGGGCGTGGCGAAACAAAGTCTTGTATGTCCTGAAACATCCCATTTCCGGCATTAAGGCTGTCGAATCTGAGTTAGGGAAACGATTAGCCTAGGTGTCATTCGCTCCCCCTTCGGTCACAGACTAGGAACTCACATTTCCAGTATTCGTTGTCGGGTTATGTCCATATTAAGGATGTCTAGACAGACAGTGGCGCAGACCAGATTGGCATCTTCCTTGGTAATGCAGCCTTTCCACGAAGCTACTTCGTTCGCGCCAAGGCTGCCTGGATTTTGCGCCAACCCATCAAAGGGTGAAGGCACGGCCATGTCTTCTGTAGTCATCAAGAACTCCCGAGCTGTCTGGTGAAACAAGTAGACCGAGTTCTTGCCAAAAGTAATGAACAGGCCACATCGAGCCCGTACCATGACCTTGAATTCCTCATCATCGAATGTTAGATCGAGCTCGTCATATGAGTTCGCCAAACCAAGTTTGCTACATGATCTCTGTGTGAGAGCATAAATGACCTTGAACTCTGGAATCTTGATTGTTCTTCGCACTGCGAGGATAACGCAGAGAAGTCTCCAAGCGTGTTCCTTGTCTGGGCTGTGATTCAACATCTTGTTGAACTGGTCCCCAAGTTGTTGGGGGACCCCGGCAAGAATTTCATCAATGAGCTCCTCTGTCGCCTCTCGGTTTGTCCTCACATCTGAGCGCAACATCTCAAACGCCATTCGAATAGCCAAGAATGACCTTGTCCGCACATTTTTGCTGATAAGCCTTTCCAAAAGCAAAGCTTCAGTGTTTTTGTCGAGTTGCTTTTCCTTGGCTATTTCTTTGACTTTAAGTCGAATGACACTGCGAATGTCAGACTGAACCGTGGCATTCTCGCCCACTAGATGACTGGTCCTTGGAGAACCCAATATTTCAGTGAGCAGATGGTTTCCTTCATCCCACGGACGAGAAGATATGACCACCTTCAATCGAGGAGGGGTTTGAAGGGAATTGCCAAATACAATTGCTAGGTCGGTCAACAATCGCTCTCGGCCTTCTCCAGCGCACTCATCGACTGCGTCAAAAATGCAGTAAACGTCGCGTTTCGCTTCAGCGGCTATTCTTGCAATGATTTGCCACATGATCTTGGTTTGGTGCTTAACCGCGTCGCCGTGCTCTTTATGTGGCCCCCGAGCATATTGCACGAGTGTGTGATCCTGCGACAGCAATTCATAAACCACCGTGCTGAGGGCATCATCGTAACCCCGTAGACTGTCATCGTCATCCTTGAAGAAGAAATATGACATAATTGGTTGCTCATCGGTCGTTTGAAGGGTATCAATGAGCGTTCGCATGATGGTCGATTTCCCGCCTCCTGCCTCTGCGGTGACGAGCAGCAGGTGCGGTTGTTTGGACCGTTGAAAGGCTTCATACACCGGGTGGCGGAAGAACCACTGGCCAGTGCCTTCTGCACAGGCATCGTTTCTGTTTTTCTGAGGAGCGTAGTTGATTTCAGTGTTGAAGGCTTTCAAACACTTCGAATCCTCAGCTGGATTGCTTCGGGCTCTAGCTCGTGAGGCTGATGTCAGCTGAGAGCCATGGGAGGCACCGGCCCTTGCGTTTGCGTTCGGTTCATTCATCGCATGACAAGATTGACTCAATTATATTGATGGGGAAAAGGTCTCTTAGTATAACCAGTGCAATCTCTTTATATCGCAGCTCCTGCGTTGGAAACACTGATCAGGTAAGATGGTATCAAGATGGCCGGTGTGGGTTATGACGAAGCCAACGAGATGCCTGCCTGCTGTTCCCCACACGTAAGCAGGCCTTCACTAAAATGGAACGGGCGAGACATGAACCCGCGGATGCTTTAAGGAATGTCGGATTCGCAGTTCTTATCACCCCACAATCAGATGATTAGTCTGAGGGCCTATGATGACACAGCTAGCGAGGGGTAAGCACCGCGACGGGGCTGGCAAGTGACAACTCATCATTTATCCACTACTTCTTCCCTTTATCTCCAAACGGGTTATTCCATGCATTTGCCTACGTGTGCTAATTGGAGGTCGGGTGGTGGGATTATGCACAGCTGACATCATCTTCGCTTCGCGTGGTGTGTGACAAAGAACCTTGGCGAGAGCCTGGTGCAAAATTTGGCTTGTTGGGCATAATCTTGCCTTCTCTCAACCAGTACAAGCCATGTTTCCAGACCAATGTTTTTACGTCGCTCCATCAGCCCGGGGACCTTCTCTGCGATAGCAATCCGTCGAATCTAAGAATGAATAGCTCTGAAGTGAGGAGTCTTGTTGAGAAACTACGTGTCTTGGAAACAAGAATCTTGGAACTTGAGAGACGACCCCACACCTCCAGCGATGCCCCGACGTCTCCGCTCCACCATCAGGCTGGTGACAACAATTTACAAGCAGCGCCTCAATCCTCCCATATTCTGGACAGCTTGAAACCCCCCGAAGATGGTGATGGCAACCAAAGCCATCATCTTGCAGATGGAGAAGATGATGCGGCTTTGATGGTAGATTATGGAAGTCGGCGTGATCGATTGCGCAAGACATTTGACTGGGAGATGGAACGTCTTTTTCTTCACGAGGAAGCAGAGATGAGGCGACGCGACCGGGCACGGCGGGCCCTCCTACACTCGACTCATGCACATAGCGCTCAAAATGCCTCCATCGCATATCGGGAGAATCAGGCTCCAGCGTTGAGGACTGAGGAATGGAGTTCATTCAAGCAGCTCAATCGCCCCCGGGACACGAGTTTGTGTGCAATAGACATTCTCATAGGCGAGCCTGTGGTTTACGACAAAATGGGCCTATCGGGAAACTGGATCATTTCCTCGGAACGTCTAGCGCGTTCCCGAACAGCAAGCGGAGAAGTCGACGGACAATTTCCAGAACGAATTCGAATTCATTCCGATTTGCTTGTTACCATTCTGGACAAAATAATCAAGTCAAGTGGGAGCGATAGAATGGCTTCGGACAGTAGACCTGTGGTCTTTACCCGACCGTTCAAGGCACTTACCTACTGCGAGCGTGAGCTGGAGCAGTGGTGCACGGAATTGCAACAAGGTACCTGCAAAGCTTGGGATTCTCAAAGGCGCCAGTCGCTGACCTTCACCGAGAGAGCTCCAGAATAACAGAACTTGCCGAAGCCAACCTATCTGATGACGATTCCAGTACCGATCACAGCATTCCCGAAAGCAATGAAAAGTCACGAGCTCGAGATATTGACACCATTCGAAGATTTCCAAAAGCATTTGAAGAAATCGACTTTTTTCGGCAAGTACTGAAGTCCAAGGTGCTTCGAAGACGGGAGTGTCTACAACAAGATACGTGTCAAAAGGTCTTCTTCTCGGACTTGTGGCATCTATTCCGTCCCGGAATGGAGATCATACACAGCGGAACGAATCAGGCTTTTCGAGTTCTTCACGTTACTAGTGCTAGGCATCGCATGCTTTCCAATTTGCAAAGGTGGGCTGGACACCCTTATCGAACAGCCGAGGATAAAGAACAAAGACCTGATTTCAGGGTGACCTGTATTCACATTGATTTTGACGGGAGTAAGATCGGACCAGTTATACAGAAATTCGACTTCGACGCATTTCAAGGCGAGAGAGATGTCAGATCGCTACCAGTGTTTCCTCTTCGGCTTTATTCTCTCCCGAATGCCAACAGCATTGATAAGAAGAGCGACTCACGTCAGGCTGAAGCTGCATGGTTTAGAAAGATGCTCATACGTCGAGGTATGAGGTTCCTTGAATCTATAGCATTACAACACATGCGGTATGCGGGTCCGGTAATCGGTACCGATGAAGAGATTGAGGGTGAGGTTATGGTCGACTTTGAAGCAGCATTTACGGCCGACATAGGCTCGAATTCGCAGGTGGATAGGCCAAGGATCGCAAACCTTTCGGGCCTTCTCATGTTGGATGACTTTGCAATGGAAGACGCTTGCCAGTTTGCTTGCTGCGAGAAGGACTACGTTCACGACGATACGAACATCGACAAAATTCAAACTGCCGACTATCTTCAGAGCTTGCAGCCTGAAATTGGGTCAGAAAGGCCCCCGTCAATTATTCTGCGACCACGAACATTGTCTGATATCAAGGAATCGGCAAATTCAACTCAAAGTCTCTTCTCAGATGACGAACTTTTGCTGTTGTCAAACAGGGTGTTCGCATTCGTTTTGCGATCCCAGAGATGGGGTAAGTTGTGAGCCACATGGAATCAGCTGATACTGCAGGCTTGCTGTCTTGAGAGGACTAGATTAACATTGAAACTGACGTATTGTGATTCTTAGCTGAGTTGAAGGTCGAATTTCTCCGTGATGTCCAAGGCCGGGGATCGACGTCTAAAGCTCCGGGATCCGACCCTGGTAGTAGCCCGGGTGAACTGGGGGCTCCACCCCCCGCTGAATCTGACAGTGTTTCTGCTCTTGATCGCCTCGTTCTTCCGCAATACCATAAGCGATTGATCATTTCTCTCCTTACAGAGCACTTTCGCACAGTTGATGCGAGAAGAGATCCAAATGCTCACTATGATGTGATCAAAGGAAAGGGTGAGCTCCCTGAAGTTGAATCCTTATTTGAAGAGGTCCAGCTAAATTGAGAACTTTAGGGAAGGGCTTGATGCTGTTATTACATGGGCCTCCGGGGTATGGTAAAACTTCAACAGCGGGTAAGATGTCAAGCTTTCATGATCTCGGATTGACCTAATATCCAAATCTGTATCAGAAGCAGTTGCGAAGATGTTCAACAAACCTTTGTTTCAGATGACACACGGTGAGTATTTAGAAAAACAGCAACAGCTGGCTACCAGTCCTACCGTGTCCAGTTTTAATGATAGGAATCTATATAGGTGAGATGGGCACAAGTCCCAGAGAACTTGAAAAAGCTCTTGAGATCAACTTTGCTTTGGCTACAAGGTGGGGCTGTATATTGCTTCTGGACGAGGCGGATGTGTTTCTCAGCCAAAGGACGATGAATGACGTGACGCGCAATGCCCTGGTTGCAGGTAAGTTTTTCAAAATGCCGCACACACGTTCAGCGGTGGTATCTGTAACCACTGACCATGATTTTAGTATTCCTTCGAATTCTAGAGTACCACTCAGGGGTTCTTTTTCTAACAACGAATCGTGTCGGGTCTTTTGACGAAGCGTTTATGTCTAGGATCCACATCAGCCTCCATTATCCAGCGTTCACCATGTCCGAGACGATGAAGGTATTCGAACACAATCTTGACCTCATTCAGCGTCGCTATACTCAAAGCGGCCGGCCACTCAGGATTTTCCGACCTAGTATCATGGAATATGTCAGCGGACATATTGTGAATACGAAGAGTAACTGGCTCCCGTTCCACCCGTGGAACGGGCGACAAATCCGAAATGCTTGCCAGACAGCCATTGCTCTGGCCGAGCTTTCAGCCCGAGAAGACCCTCACGACAATACGGTATATCTTAAGGCGGATCACTTCAGGGTGCCGCACGAGGCCAGCATGGAATTCAACCACTACTTGGATGCTGTGAGAGGCGCGAATTCGTTCGACAGCTCTAGATTGGAACGGCGGGATGACTGGCCCTCCAGAGACAGAGAGAAGAGGCCTCCTTGGGCGAACAAGTGGACCCAGGGCGGCAGGCCGGATCGATCTCGTTCCCAAAGCCCAATTGCATCGACTCCTGGATCAAATATCTCCTCGGTTCGTGGATCAAGCTCATCTAAGCCTGATAATCAAAATGAAGTCCCTGCGGGTAGAATTCCGGCCAAATACGAGAATGAGGACCCAGACCAAAGTTTCGGTACTCCTATTGGCATTCATATGAGATCCAAGATTCCTCTGCCAGTTTTTGGAGGATGTTCACTTGGCGAAAAGATATCGAAAGAAGGACCGCATTGAACACGCGAGATGTTACAGTATTTTAAATTTCTCAGGTCGCAAGTATCATATTAATGCGGTTCCGTCACTCAACGATAACGACTCATTCAATGTTATAAAACTGCGGTGTATCATAACAACCAGAAACCCCAATCATCCTTCTACATATTCCCGATAACGTCTCTAAGCCGTTTCTAGCAGCTCGGATAGAATCCTGACCTTTTTCTCTTCTATCAGAAAGTCATTTTCGAATCCTGATGACAGTGACGAAACAGCTTCTAAAAGATGCGTTGTGTCCATAGACCTAGTGATGTTCAATACTGAGCGCAGGACTCTGAGTCTTTCTTGGCCGTAACAAAGCTGACCTCGTGTGGTACGATAGAACGCTGTTGCCACAGGCCTATCCCAGTCTTGACCTAGCCTCAATGTTCGCGCTTCATAAAGTTGCTCCATGTCTCCGCAAAACCTCAAAGCCATAACTTGAAGCTTTCTGAAATCTCTGATTGCATCTTGAGAATAGGGTGGTGCGTAATCAACGCTAGCTACCGAAAGCAACTGATTAACCAGAGTCTCATTCCCGAGCGATACAGCAGACGTCAGGGTGTGCATAAAATTGTGGCCATCGATATTGATGTGAAGGCCGTGAAGAGTAAGTAAGAAACTAGCCGCATCTGTGTCATGGCGACCAATAGCTTGTGATAGCATAGTCTGTCCACTCTGGTCAAGGGCATTGATATCGCCTCCCTGGTCAACAATTTTTCGCAGAGTTCGAACGCTGGTTTGCACGTTGATAATCAACTCAACAGTCTTGTGCAGTTGTAAACTTCCGGAAAGATCCAGATTCATCCACCAGTGGGTCACATTCCGATGACTTTGCATTCTTTCTTCCAGGTCTGCGTGGTGACCTGCTTCCCAGACATGAGTGCCCCAGTAGCTTCCTGCGTAAGAAAGCAGTTCGTACCGACTCATAAGCTTGTCGTCAAGGGCCCATGCCTCGTATTCTGAAAGACCTGATGACGAAGATCCCTGTTGCATGGCTCTGAGCTTACCCAGGTATCGAGAAATAGACCGCTGAAGCCTATGCTGTAAAAGATACGCCGAGCAGACAGTTGCAATATCTGCATGACCCTGTGGGAACCACTGGCTGTAGGCTGCTCTAAAGTACTCCGAAGCGGTATGGTGACACGGCAGAAGATAGCCCTCCTCACGAATCAGAAGACCTTGACAACATGATTCAATCGTGTTAAGGTGGGGCAAGTCGTCTTCTGTTAGCTTGTCGATGGTATGAAGCTTGGCGTCTTGGCAAAGTTCGAGCACTGCAAGAGCGTGTTGGATCTCGTCTACCGTGAGGCGTCTGAACGCGCCAAAAACCCATGATAATGTTCTCTGCGCCCGCAGTGCGTCATTCTTTGGTTGCCGTGATATCCTGTTCATCGTATCTTTGTAAACATCGCCGACCGTTGAAGGAAGATGTTCAAGAGTCCGGCGTATTTCTGTTTTAGATGCAGCAGCGAACAAGCTTTCAAGGTGGTGCCGCGCCATGAGAAACCTAGAAACCATGTCAGACTCATTTATTTTATATGCGTGTCATAGACAGTGTCGGTGGCTGGACTCGACCTACATTCCATCAGCGCTTGCGCTCACCTCCGTGGCAATTGTCTGTTTCAGAGCCTCATCCTGTCCTACAACATCATGCAACCTTGGGCTGTCGCTAATTCGATGTCGTACGAAGGTGGTGATATCAGCGTCGGATGCTCTAATTTGAATATGGGGATGAGATTGAAACTTTCTCTCGAGTTTTGTGGAGGGACGTGAAATGCACAACAGCCTCACATCGGCAAATGGAAGTCTCGATATCCTTGCGATGAGACCATTTTGCACGTCTTCGGTGGCTTCATCCAGGGCATCTAAGACCACAAAGATCGTTCCTATTTCGATAGAAGATGACCTGAAAATTCCATGCAGGTCGCTCAACAAAGGCGAAAAGCCATCTTTGGTCTTTTGATGCAGGTCATAAATCTCCTGTGGCAGTCTTGGCATGCCATCCAGTATTTGGTGGAAAATGCTTCTTTCGACTTCATCCAATGTCTGAATTGCTTGGCTTCCATAGTCACAATATAAGGTGACCAGCTTGTCGTGAGACGTTGAAAGCTTGACCAAACTTTCGATGTGGTTTGAAATAATCGCACTGAACACACCAGAACCACATGTTAGTCAATTGCTTCTGAGGTCTTTAAAGGTTTGCAAAAGGCTCTCTAGTATAGGTTCTTGAGATGTAAGAGAATGACGGTTCACTCACGCAATGACTGACTTCCCTGTTCCTGCTGCGAAACCTATTGTCAGAACGCCGGATGCTATAACAGTTGGGATTGCCTTACGGTTTCCATTGCACCAGATGGTTGCGGATGGTCGGGAAATCCAGTCGTTGAAGGTTTGGTGATGCAGGATCCATGTTCCTGTGTCTCTCGCCCGTGAATCCAAAAGGGATTGATGGCGCGGGCCGAAGTTCAACTTGGTGATCCACCGAAGGGTTTCCCTAGCCCTGGAATTTTCATCGTGGAGGGCTAATGCTGTAATTTTCAACGACTGATTAGCATGTACTGCTGCAAGATTCATGATACCTCAATTTAAAATACCGCCAAGATCTTCCTTGAGCCCCCTACTGATCTTCTTCAGTTGTTCCAGGTCAGCGGCGTTGCTTTCGAGTTGCGACACAATTTTATCTTGCAGAAGTCTGCAGGGAAAGCACTAAATTAGTCCACATCTGAAGAATGTTATTGACGGCAAGCCAGTTTACATCATTATTCCCCGGTGAGTCGTACCTGCTGTTGTTGTCTAAAGCCAGCGATAGAGACTGCTTCTGGCGCCCCATCATACCGAGGATGCTCTTGATCTCCTTTTCTTCGAACGGCCATTTCAGAACATGTAATCGCTGTCGCAGACCAGGCGGAGGACTGAGCTTCTGTACCAGATGTCGAAGGGTTTCTTCCAGAAGCTTGAGTGGTGCGCCCGGTCGAATCAGTACCTCCATAGTCTTTTGCCACCCAGCGTTGTCCGAAACATCCCTAAGACCGCCGACAATAACTTGGCAAAATTGAATCTCAGCAGTAAGTTGCGCCCGTTCTTTCGTTGCGCCCTTCGCCGCTTGGATATAGCCAATGCTCTTGACGGAGAGCTCCAAGATTGCAATCAGGCTCGCAGCCAGGCCGATAGCTTCTGCCATGTTGCCGAATTGAAAATAATTTGGTAATCTCTTGGATAAATGACAGTTAGTGGTCGGCTTGCTTGTTTTAACGACAGCGGATCAGGCTAGTTTGAGAGACAGCTGATGAGATAGCAAGTTTCGAGAAGGAAGTGATCAATCTTTCAGCCCATCTTACGTCAGGTGATTTGCAACCATGGGCGAAATGGTGCCTAATGATCCGAAGCAGGAGGTAAGCTGCAGGTTGTGCTGCAGCGGCAACGGCTAGCAAGGCAACCAATGAGGTCGGGTCCATATGATCACTCAGGTTTGTAAATCATTCCTCTCTGATGCCCTCCCGTCATCACTAACTCTAAGATCCTCTCCTCGGTGATTTTTGAAACAATTGCGACAAAACAATTCAAGCATCATTTGGGACTATCATGCTTCGATCCACATAGCTATTTGGGAAGCTCTACTTGCTGAACCGCTCGAGCCAGCCTAATTTGGCACAGCTAGTCTATTGATGTGCGATTGGGAGCTTGGGATTGGTGCCCTCATAACGAAGCTTGGCGCTGAGCTTGGCGCTCGGTCTTGGATCTGGCCGAAATTTCTCCATGTCGCTGTGCGGGATAATTGACGACGGATCCTCGGCGTTCAGTAATTACATGCCAATCGCATCTCATTCGCAATGACCTCATGACCAATTGAGATTAAAATGCCCAGAAATTTTCGAATAGATATAAAAGGCAGTTGATGAATTGCTTTGATGATCCTTTGGTTTCACGATGGAGTCCCGCTCACACTCCGTTTTAGTACGCGATGAAGAGTCTCCTCAGCGTCCAAATCGCAGTTGCTGCGACGCTCGCCTGCCATGCAGCGGCTCGTCTCACGACCGGAGAGAACTCAACCCACCTGACCCTCACAAACGACCGCCTCTCCGTCGTCCTCACGAAATCCAGCGGCCACATCACCGACCTCACCCTCGACGGCCAAGACCTCCTGGGTCCTCTGAACGGCAACCGCGGCAAGGGTCCCTACCTCGACTGCTCATGCACGCCCTCAGGCTTCTGGACGCCAGGCGGAACGGCCTCGCTGCAACTCATCAATGGCACCGATTCCACCGGAACCCCGTTCGGCGGGCTCATCATGTCCGACAAGTTCGCCGCGACAAACCAGACACTGTCGCAGTACTTCTTCCTCCGCGGCGAAGAAACCGGGCTACACGCCTTCTCGCGTCTGACGTACTTCAACGAAAGCAAGCCTCTGCTCCGCGATCTGGGCGAGCTGCGCACGCTGTTCAGACCTAACACGCCGCTTTGGACGCATTTCTCCACTAGCGACGGCAACTTTGGACCGCTGCCGAAGGACGCCACATTTTCCCAGGCCGTGACGGTGCAAGATGCCACGACGTACGTCGGTGGAGTGCCCGATGATTCGTACACGGAGCAGTACTCGGACTACTTCACCAAATACACACTATCAGAATCCTGGCGCAACCACGACGTCCACGGACAGTTCAGCGACGGCTCGACGAGTGCCGATGGGAGCACGTTCGGCGCGTGGCTCGTCCACAACACGATGGAGACGTATTATGGAGGGCCGCTTCACTCGGACTTGGTTGTTGATGGTATCGTCTATAATTACATGGTATCAGGCCACCACGGCGCGCCGATGCCGAACATCACTCATGGCTTCGATCGTACCTGGGGCCCGCAGTTTTATTATTTCAACAAGGGCGCTCCGGAGGCAACTATGGCCGAGTTGAGGGCTGATGCGGTTCAGTTTGCCGACGCGGAATGGGATGAGGCGTTTTACGACAGTATTGCGGAGTATGAACTTCATCCCGTCGGCGCAGCGGACTGTGTTTGAGGGGACTGTCAAGCTTCCCGAGGGTGCGAAACGACCAATCATTGTCTTGTCGGAGAACAAGCAGGACTTTCAACTCAACGTCTTCAACACAAAGTCTCTTCAATACTGGGCTGAGATCGACGAGAGCGGGAGTTTCAGAGTACCCCGCGTCGCTGAAGGAACCTACAGAGTCACCGTCTACGCAGATGGGGTGTTTGGATGGTACATCCAAGACGACGTCGAAATCACCAAAGACACTGCGACGACCAAGCCGACATTCGAATGGAAAGAGGAGAGTGCGGGCGAAGAAGTCTGGCGGATCGGCGTCCCCGACAAGTCTTCGGGAGAATACCTCCACGGATACGCCCCGGATACCTCCAAGCCTCTTCAACCAGAACAGTATCGCATCTACTGGGGCAAGTACGACTACGAGAAAGACTTCCCCGAGGGCGTAAACTTCCAAGTCGGCCAGAGCGACGAGGCGCAGGACTTGAACTACATCCACTGGGCATTCTTCCCCGCCAAGGGCAACCACCTCCGGGAGGATAACTACTACGACAACGTGAACAACTGGACCATCACCTTCGACCTGACAAAAGACAAGCTGGACGCCGCCAAGACAGCCACTTTCACGGTGCAGATTGCCGGGACCAAGACGGCGAACGGGAATGCCAAGTGGACTGTGTCGGGCCATCCGTACAGCAACCTGCCGTGGACGGTGAACTTCAACAACCTGTATGAGTCAACGTGGGTGATTCCGTACTGGCGTAGCGGATCGTGTGGCGTGCGGAGCGCTGTCGCGTGTCAGAATATCGAGAACAAGTTCACTTTCTCTACGGAGGCGCTGAAGGAGGGGCGGAACGAGCTGACCTTGAGTCTGCCGTTCAACGCCAGCAGTGTGGAGACTGCGCTTTTGCCGGATGCTCTGTATGTGCAGTATGACGCGCTTAGACTGGAGCTGGCCTAGATATTGAAAAGACCTGGTGGGATCTCACCAATCCAATGATTTAGTTCTACGTCATTGCTGAAGTGTTTGCTTGCTTGTTTTGTATAACCTATCAAGTGAAAGCTAGACGTGGAATCGAACGTCGTTGGATCGGATGGGAGGAGTGTTTTTCCATGAAGCATCTCATCGGGAGTTCAGAGAGCAGATCCGGCACACGAGCCAATCACCACCGAGCAGCGACACCGATCAGCCGACTCCCGCGCCGGCATTGCTAGCGTTGAAGTCGGCACCGCAGGCGGGACGCACGCCGGTTGGTACGGGAATCATCACCCCAGACACCGGACGTAGATGGGCGTTGAAGATACTTCGAACATCACGATAAAGGTCAAGTGTGGGATAAATGCCGGGAAAATGACCATGATGCTCGAGGACGAACAATCACTTGGCTTTTTGTCCGGAGCTGTTGTCTCCCTTTCGTCACTGGGCATAGAAGGCCATACGCAAAGAGACAATCACTCAAGTCTGTAATTACGAAGCAGAACAACCATCCAAGTCCCTATGCGTCTCCTCAGCAGTCAAGCCCTCAAAATGAAGCTCTTCACCATCAATTTCGTCCTCTACCTCCTCAATGCCACCTACGCGGCCCCAAATGACCGGTGGGGTGATGCCGATTACGGCGGCGGAGCGGGAGGCGCTTTTGGAGGCGTATCCGCCGGGGGAGTGATGATTTGCTACTTTTTGGGGTTGGTTTGTGGTGGTGTGAATTGGGTTGTCGAAGGTTCTTTTCCTCGTGTTGCGATCCATAAGGTAGACATGTAGTAGAAGAGGTTGTTCTCTCGCCAAAATTTGAGTGTCGAGGCCTTAAGCGACGACGATGATGGGAGGCGCATTCAAGGAGACCGTTCTGATGGAGTCGATGAAAATCAGCGTCGACGACGTTGAAAGGAACCCAGGGATACTGTTCAGCATCACAAAGACTTTCTTCACCGACGAGGCCAACAACGACACCAGATCACCCGCATACCCACGCGAACACCGGTTCTTTGTCCGCCAACCCAGTCTTCCACCTCGACCCGCAAGACCGTGAACAACGAGGTTCACCGCACGGCAGCAAGATGATATATCTGCGCCGGCAAACTCACCACTTCCCATGGCCTTATCACCCACTCCATTCAATCGTCCCCATCCCAAATCATCCAGTCTCTTCAACTCTTCAGATCATCCAACCCGCCGCGATGTGCTACAAAGTCCACACGCACACCCTCTCCTGCGACGTCCGGCCCATCATCTCCTCCACCAAGACACACTACGTCAACCCCTACGAGACACCACCCTCCTGCGCCTGCCCGCTCCCGCGCTCCTCCTCATCGCACGCCGGCCGCTGCCCCTCGCACGGCTGCTGCAGCCTCTCAAGCACTCTCCACCGCTGCCGCAGGGCGTGTCGCCGGCCGACGCACTACCACCGCTACGTCTGCGACCACCCACCCCCTTCATCGTCTTCGCGCCGCCATTCGTACAGCTACTCCCGCCCGCCAACCCCGATCCCGTCCCACACCCCCTGGCGCCGGCTGCCCACCTTCGACCGCGAGGCGGACTTCCAGACCGCCGAGTCGGGGGACTTCAAATTTGCCATCTCGGAGCTGCTCGACATCGGCCGGATCCTGCTACACGCGGAGGCGGAGATCGAGAAGGGCCGGCAGCGGATTGAGAGGGAGCGGCGGCGGCATGCGGCGTCGCATGGCGCGGCGTGCGGGAAGGTGCTGGATGCGTGGGAGTGCGGGTGGACCCGGCGGATCGCGTTGATGGGCGCCGAGGCGGATGATTTGAGGCTGAGCACGGAGATTTTGGCGGACTGCTGGGTGAAGTATGTGGGTTTGCTGCGGAAGTATGAGAGGATGGGGCAGAGGAGGGTTAGTGGGATTCTTGAGGAGCCGGCGGTGACGGAGGAGAGGACGAGTCAGAGGCCGAGTGATCGGGGTAGTGAGAAGACGACGCGGTATCGGAGTGAGGATCGGCCCAGGACCCAGGGGCGTCACCGGAGTGAGGTAAGGTTTGCGAGCGGGGAATATCGCCATGGCGAGGATCGGATTCAGGTCCAGGAGGAGAGGCCTCGGAGGCAGAGTCGGCGGGGAAGCTGGGGTGGCGAGGACAGTAGTCGCGATCGTGAGTGGAATCGTGAGAAGGAAAGACGGCATGACGTCCGTGACTACGTCGAGGATGAGCAACGACCTCGTCGAAAGACATACGTCGTGGAAGATCGTCGAAGCTATCGAGAGCCATCGAGAGATCAGCGACCGCGAAGCTGGTGGAGGCTGTGACTTGAGTGGACACAATGAAATTCTCAGTCGTGGCCGAGCGCGGGCGCCGGATGAAGAAATGTTCCTGATTAAATGGATATATCTAAGTCAATGATATCTAATGCTTATGCTTTTGCCTCCATGCGTGATCAACAACTCCGAGCTCGCTGTAATGCTAGGGATAGATAGAATTATTTCACCTCAAGGTGAGGCCTTAATACACCAGCTTGAAGTCAACATCCGACTTTCCAACCATGAGGGTGTCAGGCAAGGGTAGTTGAGCGTAGAAGGGATTCGGGCGGAAGGTGACTTCCTTGAGATTCGGGAGTTTCTCCTTGCTTCCAAAGACGAGCTTCCGCAAGGCATCCTGAATGCCGCTTTCATACTGTTTGCGGGCCTGGAATCCCAGCTTGTCGATTTCGACATCGTGCCACAGTTCTGCCAAGTCGAGTATTTCTAAGGATTGGGGCAGGCTTCCCAGGACGTCAAACTTGTCCATCCTCTCCGGCTTGCCAAATAAGATGCCGATGTCGAGCTTGACGTTTCGCAGGGCCTTCATCTTGGGCAAACAAGTGAGGGTGCCGTCTCCACCGACGTGCTGGGAGAAGTTGGCGGCCAAGATACCCTCGAATGAGAACGTCTCGAGCGTATCGGCAACAAGACCCAAAGCCGTGTTGAGGTTGTGCTCGCCGTCGGCAGCCTGATCGGAGACACCAGAAGGACTCATCTCGAGAAGCTTCAGATTGGGGCACAGGGCGCAGATGGCGTGCCAGCCTGAACCCCACATGCTGCTGCGGACGAGCCGTACCTCTTCAACATGCTTCCAGCTGCCGTCATCACCCCATCCGTCACCTGGCGGGAGGGCTGCTGGTCGGAAATGAGCTGATCCCAGTTCCACTGCCTTGAGATTGGGCAGCCTCAGTAGGCACGGTAGCTCGCGGCGGGGCCAGAAAGTCGCCCCGGGAAAGTCGGGCATAGGCTCCAGCATGATGCGGGTGAGTGAGTTGAGAACTCGGGGGCAGCCTTCGTCGGGTTCGATGTCCGGGGTGAGAATATCTTTCAGCTTCTGGTACTCGCCAGCGGCGAAGGGCATGCGCATGTGGAGGGTGCGCAAATTTGGCGTCGAGTAGAGGACGAGGGCGAAAACGATTTGAACCACTTCGAGATCCGTCTTTGCTTCCCGCATGAAGGCCTTGATGCGGTCCGGGAATCGGGACGACTCTTCCACCAAGTGGCGCCAATGGGTACGCTTGTACGGACATAGTACGTCGGTGGGATAGTGATCGCTGCCCAGACATGAGACGTATGAGAAGATGCGCATGTTAGCGCCGAGCTCTGGCCGTTCGAGGAGAGTCTGCAGTAGCGATTGAAGACGTGACCGGCCCCATAGGTAGACCGTCTGGTAAAGAGACGGGATGGCGAGATCCGACAAGCGGCGGCAGACGAAGGCGAGTCGGTAGAGGGCGACACGATTGCTGACGACGACTCCATCGGGATCGGTGTAGGCCGTAAAGGGGATGTCCAAGCCGTCAAGAGGTGGTGTCAAGTGTCCGACAATCTGGAGCAGAACCTCATCGGGGAGGGAAAGCAACGTATTCGATGTCATGATGGGCGGGTGTCAGTGGTGAAAACCTGGGGTATCGTCGAAATGGGGCGAAGGCGGGCAGGTGAGATATTAGATCTTGATTAAGCGGTGTCGTATGTGAGAATGAGACAAGTCGAGCCCGGTGGTGACACGTGAGATGGAAAGCCGTATACAGACTTTGAAGACGACGTGTGCCCAGGCGTGTCTCAGCCAAATGGCGATTCGTGGGGTAAAGTGAGCGAGTGAAGAGCGAGGTGGTGACCTTATGTAAAGCGGCGGACTCGCTTGGCGCAGGTTCAGAGACAGCAAAGTCTGCAGATGGCCAGGTAGTAAAAGGGATGCAGGGTTGGACGCAGGAAGCAGGAAAGTGGGCAAGGGAAGAGAAGAGGAGGAGAAGATGAGACGGGCGCGTGGCGTAGCAAGATTCCCCCAGGTTTTGCCCCGTGGCTCTCCACTCTCTGCTTTCCGCACCCAGGCTCGGCGACAACGATGACCCCTTTGACGATCCGAATGCGGCGAAGAGTTGGCAGCGTTGCGGAAGGGGAAAGGGGGCCAGATTGCGGATTGCAGAATGCGCATGCGAGGAAGAATGTCGGGGTAAATATTGGTGCGTGGGTGGGATTTCTTTTGTCCCGTCACATTGTCCAATCGACGTGGAGCAGTCCCTTGATCCCGCGAGACTGCCGCCGAGTAACAGGTAATACGTACTGCTGCGTTTTCAATGTGGCCGTTACTTGGTAGAAGCGTCGGATTCATGAGAGACAATGTACCTGGCACATCTCAGCCCCAAGAAATAGATAGCGCAGGCCGCTACCCTCGGCACTCCAGCATTCCAGGCATATAGCCATGGCGATGCCGACTCGAGATGAGACTTTTTCTTACGGTGCATTTGTTGCGGCATCAGGTTGCATTTTGGACATGACGTTGCCGGAGGCGCTCCCGCTCTTCGGCTATCCAGGCTGGGCAGGCATCTCGACACCCTGTCTTGATGCCTGTGACCCTGGGTCCGGGCAGTGCGACGGCGAAGAAAGCATCCATGTGGTTGGTTCAGAGGGTTGCGACGCATGGCCCAGACCTGACGTCTGCGAACGAGCCGATCGGGAGGCGGCACCCGAAAGGAAGAGTGCCTCTACCGGTCGGATGAAGCAGAGTCGCATTCGTGGGAAGAGACGGCCGCCGAGGCACACTCATCTCGCACGCTTCAAGGCGGCGTGGCAGGAAGTGGTTATCAAGGGCCGCCAGTGTCGAGTCGTGGTGAGGGGAGGGGCAGACAGAAAAGAAAAAAAGGATAAAATAACGAACAAAGTGGGGTTGGGCAGGGCTGGATGCGAAGCGAACGATTGGCGGGAAGGCGCGCCAACATCGGCGGTCCCCTGCTCCTTCCCCCGTTGTGTGTTGAAGTCGTCCCTGCCTTACCCGGAAAATCAGGCCTTGCATCGTGACTAGGTAGCTGCCAGTTTCAACTTCCTACCTTACCTTTTGAGCAAGTCTAGCCCACCGTTCGTAAACCAGTTGCAGGCGGTTGCAGTTGTATTGTTGGTGGGGGAAGGTGTATTCAAGCAATGCAGTAAGCAGTTATGGCAGTTGCGTTGCAGGATGGAAAACTCCCAAGTCTGCATCTAGGTGAGGTGCTTCAGGTACAGCAGCGTTTGATTTACAGCGAGGGAGCCACTGAAGAACAAACACCACCGGAAAAGATGTTCACTGCGAACACTGCGAACACTGCGAACACAGAGGATGGCCGACAGGAATCGCTTGCCCAGCAGAAACAGCTTGCAACCATTTCCCAGCATTGGCCAAGCTTATGATGGGAAATGATCCAATTTATCACGCAATGGCAGTCCGGATCGACGTGTTTGTTTGCAATCTGCCTGGGTTATGCATGCTGTGGTGCTCCTTCTCCTGCTTGTTGGCGGCTGCTCCTGCTGTGTCCCTGCTGTGCTCCGTGAGGCAAGTGCGACGGCGCCCTGTGCCTGCCCTGTCCTTACCTTCTCTTTTTTTTTTTTCTCCATCTCCCAGCTTACCTAACCTTCCGCAGCCTGCACAGACCATATTCTCATTCACCTGACAGGCCCCACCGCTCGCGTGTCTTATCAGCCTCAGGCATGCACACTTCTCCGAAGGCTGCTCCCCCAGGCATCAACTGCCCAAATGGTCCTCGTGCATCTGGTTCCGGCGTCTCTCACACATTTTCCCCCAGGGCCTCCCTGCCTCCCGCTGCCAACATGATTCTCCAAACCCGAGAGATCACACCACTTTCCGGGCTCTTACGGATAATTCTTGACAGGGATCCCCACGGAAGACCCCTCACCGACAGCTTGGGATGCGCCGCAATCGACCTTTCGCCTTGACGACCACGACGACGACACGCCCTCAAACCGATACACCTTCCCACTCTTCGCCTGCCCTCGGATGCGACCCTTTTTGAGCTTGCTGCGACATCGCCGAAGCGAGTCCGTCCGACCCTTCTGACTTCAAAGTTGCAAGCCCATGTGTCGTCTTTGAAACTTGGGACCAGCTGATTCTAGACAGAAGCTTGTTTCTTCGTCTTCCGTCTCTTTGCCGCCTAGCCTCCAACGCTTGCCTAGGATGACTCTGTTAGTCGCAAGGGATCAAATCGAGGCCGGTCTCGCTGCCATGTTGACCGTTTGGCCAATTGGCCGCGCAGATTTAGATCCAACGGTTTCCCGACCCAGCGAAATCGGCCGGGGAAACTATCTTCAACGAGTCAAAGTCCACATGGCCGAGGCACAATCACCTGCATCCGGGGATTCATTAGGCTCCGCAGACATTTCCTTATCAGATTACCGCTCTGCCTCTCGTCTATTGGCACATTGACCTCTGGTCTAGACTCGGCTGGCCTTCCGCATCCTCGGAACGTCCTCCGGCATTGAGCCGGCGTTGAATCCCCACGCTCACCGAACCCCCGAGGTGTCCTCTCACCGACCAGCATTCCAGCCAATCCTGTGCAGCCAACAAATTTGGCTCAATACAGTTCTCAGCCTCTGATTTGGCGCAACTTCAAGATATCTCGCACTCATGAGTCGCCGGCTGAACGACGCCTTGACTTGATCGGTCTCCTTTGCCAGGCGTCAGTCCTCCCAAGGCCCATAATCATCTTCCCATCCCGAGTTCGTCCCGGTCTCACTATTACCAGAAAGATCTTCAACCTTCAACATCTTGATCCGTTTACGCAGGACGACCGGATTCAATCGCCCAACCTCCACATCGCTATCGCTTGGCTCCGCCTCACTGACGACATCGTCTTCCGAACCTCCCCTGGTCCGTTCAGTCTCCGACAAGCTGTGGGAGGCTTTGCGCTTCCTCGGCCTCAATCCCTTGCCTGCTCGCTCCTTGCAGAGCCTGCCCATGAGGCCCGGCACGCTTCCTTTGGAAAGGGCTCTCATCACTTCCAGTGCCTCGTCTTCCGTCTTTCCATCCGCCAGCATCTGCTTCATCTTGTCCCAGAACGGCTTGCGCCGGGTGAACCATGACCGGCCATAGGTGTCGTTGCGCCACTTGGCTCGATACTTTACTTCCAACTGCTCGACAGGGGGCTGGCCACGAAGACCATGCCGGTACTCCGCCCAGAGCTCCTCTACCGTGTCTGGTGTCGGTTGGAACTTGAATAAGGGCTTCTGGTTGCCGCATTCGTCTGTAATGGTCAAAGAGCTACAATACTTCGGGTCGTCGTATGGGGTCGGAGGTTCCACTCGATGTTGCTGTTTCGAGTCTGCGCTCCCACCAATCTTCCTCGCGGCCTGGTTCAGTCGACGAAGTGACGAAAGAACCTTAGCGCGTGGCGCCTTCCTGCCGGTGCTTCTCGTCCTCTGTGGTTGCGTGGGTACTGCTGTCGCTATCGGCTCCGGTCCGTCATACACCTTTGCCTCGCTTTCGGACACCGTCACGTCCTCTCGGGCCGGGAACTGACTCCATCCCGGAGCAGCGGGGGTCGCCGGCGTCGCAAACGGAGACAACGGATTCTGCGCTTCGCTTGCCGCGTTCGCGGCTGAAAGAATCCGTTCTCGATGTAGCATCTCTCCGACGCGCATCCCGGTCACTTTCTGTGCATCCCAATCAGTCAGCATCGAACTCTCGCCTTGGTCATGCCCAAACCCAACGCACCGGGATGACGTCCACCAACAACCTGCGCTGAAGCTCCCATTTCCCTTCGAACCCAATCTGCCACTTGCGTATCTCCTGGCGCCATTCGTCCTGTCTCCTTTGAATCTCCTCGTACTCGCGGATGTACTTCTTCTGCAGCTCGATCACGATCTTGGCGAGCTCGTTCTCGGTCTCGGGTGGCGGTGCGTCTCCCTGCGCGTGCGGTGGCGGTGCAACGACCTCGCTGTTGTTGATGTCGTTGTCGCTCTCGCTGTCGGAGTAATCCACGAGCCTCACTCGTTTCGCGATCCCCATCTTGTGACTGGCGCAGTTGCGACAAGTTGATTATGTGAGTGACGGTCTGACCAGCTGCGACCGATTCTGTGCTCGCGCCTAATCCTGCTGACTGGATAATATGTTATACGTGCCACGACTTCCACAGACGACGTGAAAGTTGTGGAATTCTCTGCGAAGTCGCAAGAAACCTCTCCTGGCGACTGGGCGTCGCATTATATTGCATATCTTGACCAGCGTAAGGGCCCGTGGCTCGAGACATCGAGTGATGTCGCTTCTCCAAACATCTTTGTTGAAATTGTATCCACAATGTGTTTGATTCTGTTTGTTTCCACAATCGTCCATTGTTCGGCCATCCTCAATGGTCCTAAAATGGTGTTCGAGTGGACTTAGACGTTGGCCTATGCGTCAGGGGTGAAAGGGCGATTGACCACGGGAGATGCTCGCTTGGCGTGTTTGCTATGCAGGTCCTGAGATCTTCGGCAGATTTACCCGCTGGGAGTGTCACATTTGGTTCATTACCTGGTGCCTGTTGTTTTGCGGTCACGGCATGTGTCATCTCTTCTTGGTAGCTGTGATCACCGACTACGGGTCGATCAAACATCCAGCCCTGCGCTGCTGTTGCATAGTCAGCCACGGAATATGTAGACGCGATACTGCCCGAAGAAACTTGTACCGACGCCCTTTCAGAGCCGGTCAGGTGCACAAGAACGTTCCCAAACACCAGTTGAAAGGTAGCGTGACTACGCTGATGGCTTCGAGAATTGCAGTCGAGAGGTGACGGCGTTCAATTGACCACGAAAGCTCTCAGATTCCACGCGTACCAGCTGCAGCGAAACTTTGAGACCAACCGCCCTTCATTATGCAGCGAGATGGCAAAGGGAGGGGAATAGGAGATGGGTTTGAGGGGGGGTAGCGTTTTTGAGATGTCATCACACCAGTACCTTAGATGCAAAATCTGTCTAGGAAACATAGGTCTGTCGGACTTTAGTTGAGGATACTCCTGCCAGCGGCAGAATTCACTTTGCGTCCTCAACTTGAGATTTTGGGATGAGCTGGTCTCATATCTTTCCGTTCGTGCTGTGACTTGATGGCGAAGAACCTCATAAATGCCGGCAAGGACTCTTTCTTGCCAAAGCGTATTTCAATGTCTGACAAAGTTACTTTCATAGCTGGTTGGCACGATGCCAGATTAGATGGAACACGAGAACAACAGTGAAAGTAACTCAGAATGGTATCTGTGGCTTATAGATTGCAGCCTGTGTATTCCTCTCGCTTAGTAGACCGGGAGAAGCTGGATAACAGAACAACCCCAAAGAGGCCTCTGTCCCCATCCAAAAAAGCTCAGTATCGCGTCGTCTCCCTCCTGACAGACCATGAACGCGCCATTAAAGTCCGGGCCCATCTCTCCGGGATAGTACACGCCCTTGTCGTTGAGCGTAAGACCCGGGGTGCCGTCCGAGCACTTGAGCTCCACGGGTCTGCCGCTCGGTACCATCGCCGGCCCGCGCCAGGGGACGACCATGCCGGCGAACGGAGAGGATTCGTTGTCGAAGTAGACGCCAAGCGTGTTGTTGGTGGCGAAGAATGTGGTCCCTTGGTTCTCGGGCACCAGGACCACGATGGCTTGGCACTCATCGCCGGAGACGTAGTTGAGCTCATGGTCCTGTACAATGGGGCCGTTTCCTGGGGAGTCGGGATAGAGCATGTTGGCGCGGAGGCGGAAACCGTCGGTACCGTCGGAGGCTCTTGCGGGAAGACTGGCTGCTGTGGCGGCGATAGCGAGAAACGCCGTCTGAAGGAGGGTTTGCATGATCATTTTGAAATTGCGGAGTGGAATACGGTAGATCTCAAGATTGATCAATTGTATGTGTTTTCGGAACGAAGATAAGATAGGAATGGAGTCTTGGTGCCGACAAAGCTCCAGATACCCGGTGGGACTTGAGTCCTATTTGTACTGCCCTTTAATCTAATTATGTGACCGTTTACTGATGTAGTAATGTGAAGTCATCTCATTATTATATCCCCACACTCATACATTCGCTTGGTGTAGCTGCTGCACAATATACACAAGATGACGGGCTTACTACAGCCTATTAAACTCGGAACTGCCTATAAGGAACCCGAAATAAGTTCATTCTCGATCAATAGTCTGCGGTCGGGCGCCTGCCAAGGCTGACACGCCTTAACAGGACGCTGTCTAGCTCGTGTTCTCAAAGCCATATTACGTGCATACGCTGTAAGATCAGACATACGTAAGCGAGCCAAGAGGGAAAGCAAGCGATCTGGAAATCAAACACGAGAAATGTTGCGTAATGAAACCGTGAGCTGTAAGATGATCGGCATTGATATGAGGTAGCTAGCTAGAGACCAGCGGGTTGCTCGTCCATCCACGTAACAAGCTGTATGCCGTTCTCAGTCCCTTCAGCCCAGGACGGAAAACATAGTCTCTGCTGGGAGGTCTCTAGAGCTGAAACCAACTCTAAAGGTGAATTGTCCCCCAGGAATGACCCAGTCCTGTTCAACAACGTCCCATACGCTCAGATCCCTCCGAAACACCCCAAACTCGACGTCAGCACTAGCACCCGACTCAATCATAACCTTCTCAAATCCCCTAAGCACCTTCTGCGGGGTTCCTTCCGGAGCTCCTGCTGGATAGGACAAGTAAAGCTGTGGAACGGCATGCGCAGATCGGTCGCCCGTGTTCGTGATCTTGGCCTTGACGGTGACGAGCTCGTCCCATAGTTGTGGATTTCCACCAGGCTGTGTTTTCAGAGATGCATTCGGTCGGGCCGTCACCGAGCTGTTCCCCTTGACGAGGCCGACGTCAATTTTGTTGTCTTCGATGGCAAAGGTGGTGTATGTCAATCCAAAACCAAACTCATACAACGGTTCAATGTCTTGAGCATCGTAGTGACGGTAGTCAATGAGCTGGCCCTCCGTGAAGTCAGCCTGCCAGGCCGGGGGGTCGGAAACAGGTCCAGTGATGTTAACGACTGGCGGACCAGCATCAGCCTCGTTGCGCGGAACTGTGTACGGAAGACGTCCCGAGGGAGCGACATCGCCCCAGAGAAGATCGACGATCGAATTTCCGCTCTCCTGGCCGGGATAGTGCGCCAAGAGGATTGCCCCGATCTTGGTGTGGTTTGCCCAGGGCATGGTGTTGACTCCGCCCGAGTGTGTAACCACGATGGTGTTCCCGCAGAAGTCAGCGACGTTGTTGATCACAGCGGTGGAGTTTCCGTCGAGCTCGAAAGAAGTGCGATCAAAGCTTTCGCTGGCAAAGGTCTGTTGGAACACGACGCAGATCTCGGGTGGGGGGTAGATTCCTCTGAAATCGTTCTTCGCCAGGAGCTCGTTGTTGGTCGCGTAGAGCACCTCGGCGCCCGTCTCTGCGGCCTTGGCTTGGATGGCCCTTAGCGGCGAGACGATGTATGATGCTCGGCCTGTACCGGAGCCACCGCCAATAATCATCGTGCCGGTATTAACGCTATCAGGGACTTCGGATGGGCGGTAGAACCCGTCGGTCATGTCTCCTGCATCGTTGCCGAAGACACCGATGATCTTGGGACTGCTCAAGGGGAGTGTGTTGTTGTTCTTGACAAGAACAGTGCCGGCGGCGCCCATTTCGCGGATGACCTTTGCGTGATCGCCCCTTACATCCCGGCCATGTTCGAATACGAAGTCATCAGGCAGAAAGCCTCCAGCCTTGGCGGCACCAAGACCGACTTCCTGGATGAGAGTCACCCATCGGAGTGCTGGGTCTGCAGTTGGATAATCTTCGGCATCTTGACCGAGGAAGTAGTACGGGGCCATGATGTTGCGGACCATCTGGTCAATCCTGGCTTCGGAGACGGTTCCGTTGCTGACGGCCTCGAGCACTCTCTCGCCAAAGTAGAGAACAGACCCCTGGTAGGATGGTATGATACCAGGCATCTCCATGTCCAAGCCGGCGTTTATGGACTCCGAGGTGGAATGAGTCGCGAACCAATCACTGACGGTGTACCCTTGGAAGCCCAATTCTTCGCGGAGGAGCTTGGTCAAGGTGTGCGAGTTTTCGCAGGAGTAGGTCTGGTTGAGGCGGTTATAGGAGCACATGACGGACGTAGTCCCCGCCTTGATAGCGTCGGCGAAAGGCCAGAGGTAGAGTTCATGGATGGTCCTGTCATCGACGTTGGCGGATATGGCTTCAGCCCGGGTACCGTCTGTCTGGTTTGTGTTCGAACGCTGGGTCTCTTGCTCATTGGCGATGTAGTGCTTCGAACAAGTCTGAACGCCTGCATCCTGAACACCGTGGACGGTTTGCGCGATTGAGATCCCAGCCAGGTAGGGGTCTGGACCGAAGCCCTCCCAGTTTCGACCGCCTAGAGCATGACGGCCCATAGGACCCGTCGAAGGTCTGTTGGTGTTTAGCTGCTGCGATTGTAGCATTTGCAGTGATTGACTTACCCAAGCATGACGTGCCCACCCTTGCCCTTGAATTCCTCACCCAGCGCATACCCTCGACGGTAGATTAGATCCCGATCAAAAGTCGCAGCAGCTGTGATGCCTGAAGGGAAGACGCTGACTAGATCGACGCGGTTGATGGCTGCAGGGCCGTCAAGGAGACAAAGGCCTTGAAATCCGAGCCGGGGAATGGGGGCGATGACGCCGATGCAATTGCCTGCGGATGAGTTGCCCGTAATCATAGAGACCTTCTCGTCGAGAGTGAGTCTGGAGACGAAGTCCGAAGCCATTGCGGCGGCGGCGTCCCAGTCTCGGGTCCCTGTTGACTTATGAGCTACTTAGTAACTGAAGGGATGTTGCTCTTGGCGTACCATTATTCTCGGAACGAGAGGCATGTCGGACGGCATACGCGCCGTGGACACCGAGCAGAAAGAGCGAGCCTTTCAAGATGCCGAACATGATCGAAGACGGTTGCGAGGAAGGATTAGGATAGTCTTGTGGGTGTCTCAAGCTTCACATCGCGGGTGAACAAGATCTTTTATATACTTTCAACTTCATACATACGGCAACAAGTG